TATGTCAAATGACATAATTTGTTTAGTTAATATTTTATTAACTAATTCTGGATAATTATCTTCAATAATTACCAGTGGCATCCCGTTATCAAAAACCAATAATCTACCCATTTTGATACGTAGCACTGTTCTTCTTTAATCATTAGTAATATGCTAAAAAAAAAATTTAGCATTAGTTCAGTAACACATTTTTTTTTTTTTTTTTTTTTATTATTTCAATGGAATTTACAACTGTATTACATAGAGAATACAATAAGTAAATGAGAAATTTGTAACATGGCATGTACAACATGAAGAGAAACTACCCATTGGTAGAACTCAAATTAGTAACACATTTAAAATTTAAAAACCAAACCAAGGATATAACATTTGGAGTAGACCATATTTAGTAGACACATTAAAAAAAGCGGAGACCATAACTTTGCTCCTAATTGTCCGATTTTAACGATTTTTTTTTTTTAGAAAATTTCGTAAACTTTTAAAAAACTATATACAATATCAACAAAAAAGTAAAAACTTTTCGAGTTATTCGGAATTAATTTTACCATCCCTGGTAACTTTTTTTCCAGCTTCTTTTCGTTGAAGTATGTGATATAGATAAATTTAAACGGCGTCGAAAAAATGACTTTAGCTAAGTTTCATTGAAATCTGTACATTCGTTTAGGAGTTACAATCTATAGCAACGCATGTTTTTCGGCCGCCATTTTGAAAGTTAAAGGCGGAGAGTAATGTCGATGAAAGAGGTTCATCCTCGAGTGACCTCTGATTTTATATCAAAATTTGAAAAAAATCGGTCCAGTAGTTTCGGAGAAAATGAGCGTACGGCGTACAGCGTACAGCGGACGGACAAAAAAATTTGTATTCGTTTTTCGAATTCTACGCGTCTTGAAACGTAAAACCTCAAATTTTGAGAGGGGGTTATGTTTTTGAATTTTTTGGTCGATCACAATGTTTCATTATTGAAAATAATAAACCAAAAGATAGAAGTATATAAATTAATAATTTTTCTAATTTGCCGAGAGAGGTGGACTGAAACCCACGAGAGCAACGCCACCAGTGACCATCCTCTATCTCTTCGAAAAATTCAGGAAAAATGATAAAGAAAATTTGTATACGATTAGATTTAATGTAGCTTTTTTTTTTTTTTCTGAATTTCATGAAAATCGGGATTTAGATAATCGCAAAGGTTAAGGTGGGTATAATAGATCCTAGGGATATAAGAGACCTTTCTTCAATTTATGGAGAGGGTTTTCATCTCCTCTTCCCTCCTTGGAAACTTTTCTCAGCTATCAGTTTATTGTCAGCAGTATGCGTGGTTCGGGCACTGGTGAGTAAAATTTTACTTTTAATGTTTTTACTGGAATAATACTAGTTTAATAAACAGGGCGATACTATTAAGTGCTAGTAGTAAAATAATTTTAACAAGTTTCTTAGAAGTCGTTTTCGATATACATTCTATAACAAAACACATTTTTCGACTATCGTTAACAGAATGTCCGATTTGTTACCTACATAACAAATGAATTGAAGAGAATGTAACGTTGGGGCGTGGTCAGGGATGTGACGGTACTGGTGGAGCAGTGACGTTTTTCATAGTCTCAGTTTGGAACAGTGACAACCTGTTCCATTTCCTTGGACCTTACGAACTAGTGACAGTGACAGAAGTCTTCTTATCCATTCCTCAAAATAATTTATGAATATATTATTATATTATATATTATAAAGAAAGGAGATGGTTTGGGGTTGCGGTCATAAATGGGCTAAATAGTGGTAAAACTATTTTATTGAAAGCCAACGTTTCGATCTGACTTTGCAGGCCTTCTTCAGGGCTAGAACGGTTCTTCAAATATCTTCAAAATTTAGATACTATAATTTCCTAGGTTTTTCCCAATTACCCAACCATGTTAGGTTTCCCTATACCTGCCCTTACCCTTGGTTTTCCAGTTCTAAGTGAAACTCCTAGCTGAACACACCGGTAAGTCTCTAATTTTATTCTTACATTTTATTTATCTAATTTTTGGTCTCTTTTTTTCTTTTCTTTCTCCACATTCCTTTATGTCTATTATTTCATATTATATCCTTTTTCATTTTCTTTCAATCTCTCCTGTAGAATTGTAGAAGTATATTCACATTTTCATTTATTAGATATTGCACTACAACAATTGTTAGCACCTATTTACTTCAGTTTAGGATCTTGTTACTCAGCTTACTTTGTTCATATTTTATTGTAGTTACTGTTTATAATTTTAATAAGCTTATTCACATTGTTTATAAATTATATCTTTTTGTATCGTGTCCGTTCTGTCCCTGAAGAAGACCTGCAAAGTCAGGTCGAAACGTCGGCTATCAATAAAATAGTTTTACCACTATTTAGCCTATTTATGACCGCAACCCCTGACCATCTCCTTCCTTTATAATGCAACGGTCAACTATTAAATATTCAATATTATATATTATATTTATTAACCAACAGTTTTCTTTTTCCATTAATTAATTAATATGTCGTAGATTTATATCAAAAATACTTTATGTAATCAGAAAATTGTGCGCGCTTGCTGTAACTGTATTCGATATTTAAAAGGAATTTTATAATTTTCATGCATTTACAGTTTTGATATGGAAAAATAAAGTCGAAATTCACAAAACGTTTATTTGAAAGTTAATGTATATCAAAAATGCACATCATATTTGTGAATATGGGAAAAATAAAGTTTTGTTGAATTTTATTGAAATATCCACAGAAAATATATTTTATTAACAGTTGAGAAAATAGTATTTTTAATTTGAATTACAATTTTATCTATGTTTGATTATTATTTATTCATCTTCGTAATTGATTCTTTCCATTAAAATATTTTTTTTTAACAATTTGATACTTGACAATTGAGAAAAGCCCTTTTACTCAGGCCGCTGCGACTCCAGTCACAGACACACTGGTTGCGCCATACCTGTCACAGTTGGGCCTTATTGGTACTCTGTCACTAGTGATGGGATGTGACAGAGATTTCCTGTCACAGCTCCGACAGTGACAGCTCCGGGAAAATCACTATGACAAATCACAGTGATTTTTTTTGGCGATAAGTATATAATGGTTCCTTGGCAAAAGCGTCACTGTTAAATCATAGTTTACGTGTTTAAAATTATATTAAAATAAAAATTTTTTTCTTCTGATAAATTTTATATTTGACGGGGGAAAATATCTCTGGGATCCCTTGGCTTCTGTATACAGCCCTGCAGAGAATATTTGAATTTATTTAATTTCTTATTTACATTTCAACAGTTAAATGAAAAACTTTCAGTTAATTATTTCAGACATGACTCATTCAGAAATATATGGCAATGAATGTTCAATTCATCAAAGTACAAAAAGTATTCTAATAAAATTTGACAAATAACTATTATTTTAGAAATAATTATTTCATGATTATTCCTTTAATTCATTTATTAAATAAATGAAGTCAACAATGCCCAAATCGCTGAAGCGAAAAAGAAGTTATAGTTCGGAGTGATCAGAGCTGTGATTTCACAGCGCCAACAGTGATCGTCAATGTTGGAGCACAGTGATCATCACTGTTGGCGTACAGTGATTTCGGTAGGCCTGTCACTGTGATCACCAGCTCCGGCCCAGTCACAGTGACAGAATCACAACTCCCCTATATGGCCCCATCACTAATTGTCACTGGCACAGTCAGATTGGAGCAGTGGGCCCATGCTCCACTGCTCCGCTCTCACAGTAGGGCCTTACCTGTATTCTGTCAATGACAGTGTGGTACGGAGTAAGTACCCTTTGCTCAACCGCTGTGACTTTAGTCACAGACACACTCTATACCTGATACCTTTATTTGTGTATTTATTTTTTTTTATTTATATGTTCTTTCCTACCTCGCCTTATGGGCCATACGGGATCTTCCCGGGCCGGGGAATGAGGACGGAGAATTTAAAATCCCCTCCGGCACCGGGACGCGAACTCGTACTTTTTAAATCATCTCAAATCTCTGTTATCAGGTTGCCAGACAACTAGTCATCGGTCTTTCCGATACTCTGTCACTGGTATGGTCAGAACGGAACAGTTTGGGCGTTGCTCCACTGCTCCCCTCTGTCTGCCAGTGACAGAGTATCGGTAAGGCCCAGTGACTAGAGTATAACTCTACTACTACGTGACTAGGGTAAAAGTGGTCGAATTGTTAAAAAAAAAAATATTTGAATGGAAAGAAACGATAACGAAAATGAATAAATAATAATCAAACACAGATAAACTTTTAATTCAAATTAAAAATGCTATATACTCGACTGTTAATTATATATTTTTTCTGTGGGTATTGAGATTCAAAAAAACAAATCACATATTGTTTTCGTATTCACAAGTATAATATATGTATACTTATATATATATATATATATATATATATATATATATATATATATATATATATATATATATATATATATATATCGGCCATTTTTTGCAAGTATACTAAGTGCATAGGTTAACTTTCAAATATGCTTTTGTGAATTTGGACTTTATTTGTCGACATAAAATGAATTCAAATGCATGGAAATGGCATAAATCCTTTTATACATTGAATACAGTTACGACAAGTGCACAATTTTCTGGTTTCATAAATGGATTAATTATTTAATATAATGAAATGTCTGTTTTGTTATAAACCTATTGTATATTAATTAATTAATAGACAATAAGACTGTTTGTTAAGAAATATAATATATAACATATTAATACATTGATAAATTAAGTAAGGGAATGGACTAGAAAACTTTTGTCACTGTCACTGTCACTGGACCGGTAATTTGTCACTGCTCCACTGGTGTCACTGGAACAGCGACAGATTTTTCCTGGATAGTCACATCCCTAGGCGTTGGTACCAGAGTGCCCGGATTCAGAACTTTAGGGTTTTACTCCTACCTGGGTCGGCTAACTTTTGTTTCCCGGCTGGTCCGGGAAATGTATCCTGATATTCCCACTCCGGTAAGATACCTTCTATCTTTGTGTTATCATTTTTTTATTTTAAATATGAATTTTCTTTGTAGATTATATATGGTCGATTTCATGCAGATATACTGCAAATATGTATTTGTCCTGTTAATTTTACTACTCTTATCACTTTGGATTGTATCTGTAGCCAGTGGTTTTTCGAGCTCTTTGCACAGTTTGTGTACACTAACCAATAAAGTTGTCAACCTTATTAAACCTTCTTGTTGCTTCATTTTTGTGTACTTGTGTTGTTTATAACTAAAAAAATAAAACGTTTCCCTAACTAATTGTTTAGTTAATAACTATTATTAGGAACTTTTTTTTAGTTATAATTTCATGAAGGCCGTAGTTCCTTTTGTAGTAAATTCTGTAACTATCATTTTTTTGTTGTTTTTTTAAACTATCTTGTTTTTACTCTTAGATTCATTGAGGGTTGTTAATCTTAGGTTCTTCTGATGATCGTTCTTGTATCCTGGTATTGTGTTATATCTGCTGGAAAATTTGTGAATTCTTTTCATTGAAATGGCATCATATTTCGAGAATGCTGCTATACAGGTGCAGGTAACGTTTCTATTGCATTATTTATTACTTATTTATGTTTTAAATGTATTAACGCCATTATTGTCAGTAAACTGGATTAAGGTTAATATTTAATTATAATATTTTAAACATATCTTGTTTCAAAGATATTTTCTTTCTCCCTAAATACATTCTATATACATTTTCTTTTTCAGATATTTCTTTGCATGGAAAAGTCTGGTACTAGTTCAGAATCGCTACTCCAAGATGGCTGAATTCAAGATTACATCAAATACAGTCTAGATGCAATGAAAGCAAGTTACTGAAGAAAAACGGAAATAAATACTCTTTCTTAATAATTTTTTCATGATAGCGGAAAATGCACTCCATTATATTAATTTATAAATTCATTATATTTAGTATTAATGGTACGATATGCGATGAGAAGAAATGCATTTGAGATTTGCTGCAGTGTTTAAATTTAATCACTCTTGTTTATTTCCTACTGATTTAGTTAATGTACTTATTAATATTAATACTAGAGGGGATATTTTTTATCATAATTAGTAAATAATTAAATGTCACTGTTTATTTTTACTCTATATCTTAGAAAGAAGTAAAATTTTTCAATGAATAGCTGACTAATATTTTGATAAGTTGGTTCACGCTATTATTCATATATTAAAAGAAGTGAACGTGATGGGGACTCGGGCTGAGCTAACCTAATGTTTTGGTACAAGGGATTGGAGATCGGTCATCCATATTTACTTTTGGACAAACTTGGATAGTTTTAGTTTTCGTCTATAGTGTGGTTGTGATGTGATCTTAAATCCAGCTTGCTTATTGCAGTAGCGATTCAGAACCACTATCAAAATAAATTCAGCCATATTTGTGGAATTAGTTATTAATAATTTTTATATTTATTGTTTGTAGGAACGTTTGAAGACTTTAAGTTCTTTAGTGCATGAAATAGAAGGAGAAAGACTTAAAGGCGAACAAACGTTGGATCACATTACTAAAGCTCATGATAAAATTAATCAAGAAGGACGTTTAACATCTTATAATCAGGTATTGAAAGTTCATATTCAATATCTATATCTTTCCTTTAAGTATTTCCAGTAGATGAGGTTTTTTAAAAAAAATATCTCCAGACTCAATAATTAAAAAAATGGCTCATAAGCAATTAGTACAGAATTGCTTACATCCTTTTTTGATAGGTGATGACTGATAATTTCCCATTGAAGTGATTAAAATGTCAGTTGTGAACAGTTCTAAACAGTTGAAGACTGATCATCAATAATGGGCTAAGTCTCCCCCCTCCCCCCCATCCAAAAAAAAAATAACTGAGACATGCTGTAAATGTAGGAATTAGGCTGTAAATGTAGGAATTGGTTTATGTTTTGTTATCCAAATTTTTTTTAGCCAACTGAAAACTTAAATTGTTAACACTTGTCCCATTATTGATCTCCAGTTTTCAGTATGTTTTTGTCTTGATGCTTTCACATAAATAAGCATTTTACTTTCCTGGCTTGAATATCTCATGTATTCCTCACATAAGAATACTCATGTGAGATTGATAAAAGACTCTCCTGGTAATTTTGATTTTATTTTACTTTTATACCCTTAATTGCCTAAATGTATGTTTATTATCTTTTATTTTATTTATTTTTTCTTTAGCAAAAATTAAAAGGACTGTACAATACTGCTTTAAGTGATGCTGTTCAAGAAGAAGAACTTCTTCGTCAAGCCTTAACAAAAATAATGGAAATTAGGAATATCTGCAATGAAAGAAAATTAAAGGTTATTTAATTTTATATTAATTATTTGTTATATTTTATGTTAAAATTTAATTTAATGACAACTATTTTAATAACTTAATGGTAATTACTTATTCTTAGTAACTTCTAAAAATACTATTATTTTTGTTAATTTGTTTATTTCTTTTAAATTAGAAATATTCTATCACCCTGATGTGCCATGATATCAATTGAAATGTTTAAAAGATTGATTCTAAAAATATTAGACTTTTCTCACTTTTAAAAAATTCACTGTTAAACAATTGTTTGGTAAATATACAAATATATATAATTTAAATAATATTAATCTAGTTTCTTTTGGCTTTAGGCTCGTAGTGAAGGAAATCGGGAAATATTTCATCGGGGAGCATTAATGAAAATGCTTCAAGTATCTGCACAAACTTTGCCTCTGTGGGTGGGAAAAGCCGACTCAAAAGCTCCGCCTTTGTGTGGTGCAATTCCTGCTGATCCAAATTATATTGCAAAGGTGTGTATTCGTTTATTTTCATGTTATTTGTAATATTACTTATATGACAATAAGAAAAGTGTAGCATCACCTTAATTTTTTTTTTTTTTCATTTACACATATTTTAATGAAAAGAAAAAACAAATTGTTGCCATCCAACATGGAGAAGAAATATGATTAAGCTGAAAATTTTTAAGGAAATATAGATCAAAAGAAATGGCCCTATGTTAAAAAATAATTGCTTGTTGACAAAAAAAGCAATGTTTAAATTAATAAATTGTTAATGTGCATCTTTTGGAAATATTCTGAACTTTATTCATAACACATTGAAACATATGAAACGCATTGAAAGAAAGAGTTAATATTAATATCTACGTTCAGACTATTTCAATGAAGATAACCCCTGCCTGATAATTAATATCACATGATTTTACTTTACCGTTAGGAGTTTAATTAAAATAGTTAGAGCTGTTTTTGAAAAATTGTATAAATTTACAAAGCTTGTGATAATAAAGTGCCACTTCTGGTTTGTCGATAAAGATGTAACGTTCCAGATATAGTTATAACTTAAATACATAATTTCAGTTTTGTACGACTTTTCATTTTTTAATTAGATTATTTGCAAATATACACGCAAGATATCCCTTCAATTTTATAGTTAAGCCATAAGACATAACTCTCCCTGAGTTTATACTTATCCATTATTGTATTCATTCAAAGTGTATTTGTTTGGTGTAAAAGAACCTCGGTTTGTAGTTCTCTCACTCATCTAGAGTAGTAGTCTATTACTAGAGTTCAAGTTCCATATCTGGATATTTTTTTAATTATTAAAAATATGAAAAAGTGCTCAAGGGATCATAGATTATTCTCCTCCATTTACCTTTTCAATAGATTCCTAGTTCCTCAATGAGTATATTGCAATATTTTAATATTTAAAACCTAACCAAATGATGTTTTCAGAACTTTTAAGGTTTTTCACGGTTGGTCGGTAGTTAGCCCACTGAACCAACCCTCCTTTATCCGGACTTGGGATCGGCAACCGCCTCTGAATGAGACATCAAGTGGAAGTGAATACAGAAATAGCTTTAAAGGTTCACAACTTTAAGTCTGTTGACCAGTTCAAGTACCTTGGAAGCCTGGTCACATGCAATAATAAAATGTAGAGTTAAATAAAGGCTAGGAAAGCAGCAGGGAATAGATGCTCGCTGCAAAGAGACTTAAAATTCAGATCACTCTCTAGAAGAATCAAAATCCTCATCTACAAAACCATAGTAAGATCAGTGGTTATGTATGGGTGTGAGACTTGTACCTTAACCAAAAACTCAGAACGCACACTAAACTCCTGGGAGAGGAAAGTATTGAAAAGAATATAGGGAGGAATCTTTGAGAATGGAATTTGGAGGAAAAGAAAGAATGAGGAGCTGCGGGAACTTTATGATCAACCTGATATTGTTTCATTGATAAAAAGAGCCAGAATTAGATGGTTAGATCATGTGGAAAGAATTCCAGGCCGAAGAGGATGCTGCATAAGAAGCTGGATGGCAAAAGAAGTAGAGGACGCCCTCGGATCAGATGGCTGGAGGATGTGGAGGACGATTTGAGGCGGCTGGGCATTCGAAGATGGAGAGAAGTAGCACAAGAACGTGGAGATCGGTTGGCTGTAGTGGAGGGGGCCCGGGTTCTTGCAGGACCGTAGCGCCATTATAATAATAATAATAACCAGGTGAAGAATATCACATGGCACCCTTAGTGCCTTAGAGGCTTTCGGCAAGAATTACGATTTATCACAAAAACAGAAATTATAAGGCTTTAAAAATCAGAATCTTGATATCCCCACCAAAATCTTTTGGACACAATTAAACCCGTTTCAATCTGTCAACTTTGAAATCTCCTAATTTTTTCAATGACTTTTATTGTAAAGTTTTAAAAATGGCATTTGTCACTTCTATGTGAAATTACTATTTGTTTGGTACCTCATTCCATAAAATCCATCATTCCTGAGATATATGCTACCTTATTATATTACAGTCGCGATCATAGAAATTGCATCACCCAGTAAAAATTTTATTTTTTTTACCAGATCGCTATCTACAAGATCTTTGGATATTTCTTTGCCAGTTTTGAAATTATATTCTAAAAACAATCACACTATTAAGCGCTCAAATTGTTCATTTTTTTTTCTTCTCCCAGTTCCTTTCTTTTGCTCCATGGTGCCTATATATATATATATATATTAAAAAACTATGTTGTAAAGTTGATTGATGGTACCCTATCCTCATTACTATTTCCCATGAAAATTCCTTCACTCTATGTAAAGTCAAAATTTTAATAATTTCTGACAAGGCAATTTTCAGAAATTGGTTATAATTATAGATTTTTGTCTGGTATTAATTAAAACTGAACTGAAAAACATTAGAAGTTTTATTGCAAATTGTAAGGAAGTAAAGAAAAACAAAAACATTCACTGGAATCAACGTTGTCAACATAAGAATCAAAAGAAATAGGTAATGCAACTTCTATGACTGCGACTGTATATTGTGTAATAGTCTATGGTATAGACCCCTTTTTATCAAATTATTAACATCTGCCTGAAACTTCCTGAATAGCTTCATCTAATCGTAACCTATAACGATTTTATTTATGAAAATTCTTGGAAATGGGGTGTTTTCAATCTGGATATAGGCAAACTTTGTCTATTTAATTAGGTTCTAAAAACTCCTAAATATCAATTTGCTATCCACTTGAATCGTAAGATAATTTCAGTACAAAATTGAGAAAAAAGTGGCCTTAAAAAATATTGGGCCATTTGGCGTGACCTACACCCTCAACCTGTCAAAATAAAGATGTTATATAGGCCAAATGACCTAATATTTTTGTATGCCACCTTTTTTCTCTATCTTACAATCCAAGTGGATATTTAATACCTAATTAAATAGACAAAGTTTGCTAATCTTCAGATTGAAAACGCTCCAAATCCTAGAGTTTTATAAATAAATTGGTTTTAGGTTATGATGATATAAAGCTATTCACGAAGTTTCAGGCGGTTGTTAATAATTTGATAGAAAGGGATCTGTACCATGTACTAATAGTATTAAATGAATAGTGGAAGAGATTTCACCATGAATTAGTAATATAGTATTTAATTTATAAGAAAAAATAATTTCTGTTTTAGCCTGGAGATATGGTTGCTGCAATGGTAAAAATAGTTGAAGGAGATGAAGATAATTGGATCTTGGCTGAAGTAGTATCCTTTAATCCTGTTACCAGAAAGTATGAGGTATTTGCCTATTTTTAAATATATTAACATGTTATTCTTGTTTTCTCATTTGTAAATAAACCCTTACGGATAAAAGAAAATAAAACTTAGAAATCATTATTCAATTAAATTAATAGATAAATTATTTTACTTCTAATAAAAGGAATAAAGAAGATGCTTACAAATTTGCTAATTTGATGGAATAATCTCTCTTATTTTTATCTGCTTCACTCACCAAAGTTATAAGTAACTATTAGCCTTCACTATATAAGTCTAGTATAAAACTTCATTGTCTTGGTTTCAACATATCTTTTTCTTTCCTTTTATTAAATTTTAAACTATAGTGGTGTTGATTATATTTAATGAATAAATAATAGCTCAAAACTGTTATTAATGTTTCTAATTTATTTACCTTGGCTAAAGAAGTTACCTGTGGTATCAGCAAACCAGCGAATGCTTTTATGATTTATATAATCATTTCCATGGTTACTTGATTTCAAGAACAACTCTATACAACCTTAGCCTCCTCATTATTAATCTATTGCTCTGAGATATGAACTAATTTACGAAAGAAAGATCCTCTGATTGACAAAGAACTGACATCAAATTACTAGTTTTTAAGACAAAGAACAGCATTGAAGTACTAGTCAATAGCTGTTTATCATATTCAAGAAAATCGGTGTAGGAAGATTTATTCGATTCAAAAGATCAAAGTGAGCTGTACACTTGCAGACTAGGTGAAAATTATATCCCAAAGATTATTCTTGTGGAAATTTAAGGGTCCAGGCATAAAGGAAGACTATATTTAAGATTATGATCTGGTGGGAAGATGGAATCACTCACTATGTTCAGGTGGAAATTGATGGCCACTGGATACCGAGAAAACTTGATATACCCTAATGCAGAAGCTTCAACAATGGTTTTTGTGCCTCCGATATGTTTAGGTATTTCCTAATAAAACACTCACTGATAATTTTTACACTTTTAATTACCAAAACACATTACATTATAATCAACAAAGGCAGTAAGTACCACATTGTACAGCAATCTACATACAGTTAAACTCAATATCTTATAACACACCCAGAGGTTATAATAGTTAACACACAGAGGTTCAAAAATAATCGATTTTATAATAAATTATATTTTCACTTTAACACCTTCCTTCATAATTTCTTTTAAAATAATTTAAACTAATAAATTGAATATAATACACAAATAGAATTTTTAAGTCAGTCCTAAATCTTTATTTAGCTTCTTCAGTCTGGGGCCTAGCACAGGCTTTGTTAACCCGTCGGCAAGTTGATATGCAGTATCCACTCTCCGGATATGAATTTCTCCCTCTGGAACCTTTTCTCTGACAAAGAAGTGGCGAATGGATATATGTTTTGTACGTTTGTGCCACACAGGGTTCTCTGCTAATTTAATGGCAGCATTATTATCGACAAAAAGCGTACCTTCTTTAAAGTCAGTCAACTCTTGAAGAAGCTTTTTGAGCCAAACCATTTCTCTTGTACCCTCACTTGCAGCGATGACCTCAGCTTCAGTGGTAGAGATGGAAACTGAACTCTGTCTGTTACTCGACCAAGATACGACACCACCCGAATACAGACAAGCAATGCCAGTTAATTTGTCACCACCAAGATCTGCATCAGAGTAGCATTGAAGAATTCCGCTTCTATGGTTTTTCTTGTACGTTATTCCAAGTTCAGAAGTCCCTTTTAAATAACGGAATATTCGTTTGACCCTGGTTATGTCACTATCGGAAGGATTATCAAGTGTTCTTGAAGCTATGTTGATGGAATAAGCAATATCCGGTCTTGTACATATCATCAAATACATAAGTGAACCCACAGCTTCTCTATATTGAAAATTCGTTGTCTTGATGTCCACATGTTCTTTTTCATTGTCTAAATCATCCTTTAAAATTGGAGTACTAACAGGTCGACACTCATCCATCTGGAATGTTTTGAGAAGTCTCCTAATGTAAGAAGATTGAGTTATTTTTATACCTTCCTTGCTCCTGTTAATCTCTAGTCCAAGATAGAAATCAGCTGGTTTAGTCTTGATTTTGAACTCCAGTTTTAATTTGTCTAAGAGCTCCATTGCTTCCCTTTCATCCGAAGCAGCGATCAATCCATCGTCAACATACAAACACAACAAAATCCTCTTACCATTCACATCTTTGATAAATAGGCAAGGATCTGCTGTACTAATTTGAAAACCAATACTAACCAGGAAATCTTTTATCTTCTCGTTCCAACAATGTGGAGCCTGTTTGAGCCCGTATAGGCTTTTATGTAATCTGCAAACCTTCCCTGAGTTGTCACTGAAGCCTTCTGGTTGCTGAATATAGATTTCCTCCTTGAGTTCTCCATTTAAAAATGCAGTCGATACGTCAAACTGATGCAGACTCATATCTTCATTAGCAGCATGTTATTGGACATAACTAGTAGTGCCTGGTTGTCAATTTTATTAAATGTAGCTAAATCTGTTTCATGAGCTTTCACAGCATCGTTATCAGTTTTATCAGGGGCTGCAGGACACTTGTAAGTTCCATCTATTATTTCTATTGTCCTAGGTATCATTTTCAGTCCCATTCTTATTTTTACCTTCCAGTTTTCCCAGTTGCCCTTCCCTTCTAACAGAGCAATCTGAGGAATCATAATTGATTTGGACTCCATAATTAAAAAGAACGTACCTCAGAACACAGAACACTAGCGTCTTTACAAATCGTCTTTTCAAATCTTCATTTAGTTGTTTACTTCTTTTCGAATTTTCCTTTTAACATCATGCTGGACCCATAACTTGTTTAGGTATTTCCTAATAAAACTCACTGATAATTTTTATACTTTTAATTACCAAAACACATTACATTATAATCAACAAAGGCAGTAAGTACCACATTATACAGCAATCTACATAAGGTTAAACTCAATCTCTTATAACACACCCAGAGGTTATCATAGTTAACACACAGAGGTTCAAAAATAATCGATTTTATAATAAATTATGTTTTCACTTTAACACGATACGTATAGATTGCCTGGTTTTGCTATTCATTCTGCAGAATCTGCAAATTTGTAACTAAGTTAACTCCTGATTATAGAGGTATTTATTTAACTGGTAGTGTAGACCAACTTAACAAATAACTTACTTGTCCTTTGGAAATATCTGGCCATCGTTAATTATTCCTCAAAAAAATTTTGTTTTTTAGGTTGAGATTTTCGTCAAAATTAACTTAAGTTCATTTTGCTGTTTACGTAAAAGTGATCTTTTTATATGGAATAGATGCTATTCCATTGATCTTGCAATAAGTTAAATATTCTGTAATATTATTCAAATTTTTAAAAATTATATTAAACCGATTATTATACATTATACACTATACTATTATTAAAAATTATACAGGCCATTGTTATCTGTTCCAGTTCTCTCCTTAAATCCAACTCCTTCCTTTCTTCTTTAGTTATTAACGATCATCCCATCACTTTCAGCGCCTCCGTTAAAAATCTAGGAATCACTATTGACGAAAACCTCTCCTGGAAACCCCGTATCGCCCTCATCTCCCAGAGGTCAATTGGTACCTTTACGTTATTTCATCGCTCCCGTCACCTACTCCCACAATCTATCCACAAGCTCCTTGTATCCTCTCTTATTTCCCCCCACTTTGACTACAGTTATGTGGTGTATGGAGGCATCCTGATGGTACTCGAGGATAGATTGAAGTGACTTATTAACTTCTTAAGATTTTTCTTCAGTACATCCAGACGATCTCATGTGTCCCACCATTACGACAAATTAAAATTATCAATTCTCTTCATTCCGCCGTTCAGTCCCTGAAGACAAGATCTCGTGTTTCCGACTTTTATATTCGTTTCCGTAGAACTAAAACATTTGAACATTCCTTTACTGCCCGGTCCACTGCGTTCTAGAATTCCTTGCCATCTGATATCCATTATGCCTCTTCCTTGTCCTCATCCAAATATCATCTCTACCAATTCCTTCTCACATCCCAAAATGACGCTGTACAAACATAAAATAAATTTTGACTGAAGTGAACGGTTTTTAAAATTGTTAAAGTTTAAATCTTAAGAATCAATTCATAGTGCTTATAACATTTTGTTTTTTATTTTCTCTGATTTTATTTTTTCTTTTCATTTCATTAATGTTTTTTTTTTTCAAAATGTTTTTACTTTCTGTTGCTCATATATTTTCACTAAATATATTGTATATATTCTTTAATTTTTATTAATGTAGTTTTTGGCCAGATATGATTTTTATTTTTTGTTCATAATTGTTATTCTTAAGGGACACCTACTCCCAGAATAAAGTTTGTTTTCTATTCTATTCTATTATTTACAAAACTTCTTGTCCTAATGACTTATGTACTAAGAAGCCAAGTAACATAACCTATTTTCAACAATTGTAAGAAAAAAAATTGTTATAACATTTTTTAATATTATTTTTGTCCCATAGCAAATATATTTTTTCCTCTTGTATTTCTCATGTATGTATGCTTTTGTATTTTTTTTTCAACCATTTGATTTTAATCAAATTCTTTTTACAATCAGGTTGATGATATCGATGAGGAACAAAAACTTCGTCACACATTAAGCAGAAGACTTGTTGTTCCTCTTCCTATAATGAAGGCTAATCCTGAGACAGATCCAGACGCATTATTTCCTAAAGGAGCTGTCGGTAAGTTATGGTTCTGCCAACATTTTTATTTTTATTATAATAAAATATGATAACTACTGAATTTAATTTTATTTATTCAAGCATCTATAGAGATATAAATTTTCTCCCTGAAATTAGTAACATTATGCAGGCATTTTGATACAAATTGTTAAATGGCAGATGAGAAAAAAAAAAAAATCTAAGAATATCACTGTGATTTGGATACTTTCTCTCATGGCAATTCTTCGGGTGGATGTGTGTAAAACCTTCATAAGAGGAATAGAATACCACTCCGATCAAGTCGACTAATAGAAGTGTTTTTGCATATGGATTAAAATATGGGAAATGTTCATAATTTCATCCTTTTTGTAATGAGCTATTATTCAAAATTGTATCTTAATGCGACTACGTGTTAGAGAGGTAAAAAGGGGAAAATTGTGTCCAAAACCAAATGACAACGAGTTTTATTGAAGATATGTAATAAAATATCTCAAAAACTAAAAATCGAACCTGCATATTGTAAGCGAGTGACTAGTTCAGCATTTCATCCTCTCTTTAATGTGCTATTATTCAAAATTCTACCTTGCGACAACGTGTTAGAGATACAAAAAGGAAAAAGTAGTGTCGAAAACCAGATAACAAGTTTTATTGAATATATGGATCAAAATATCTCAGAAACTAAAAATTGGACCTTTTCTATAAGCGAGGGAATCGCCCAGCATTTTATGTTCTCTGTAATTGATTATTATTCAAAATTGTATCTTAATGCAACGTGTTAGAGGGAAAAAGGGAAAAAATAGTGTCGAAAACTAAATGATAACAAGTTTTATGGAAAATATGGATTAAATATTTCAGAAACAAAATCGGACCTGCATACTGTAAGTGGGGGAAATATGCAGCATTTCGTTTTCTTTATAATGAGCAATTATTTATAATTTATATTTCCTATTATTTATTAATCTTTTCTTGGTTTATGTTTTCACTTTGACTGTGTGATTTAAAGTACACCCCTTAGTTTTTATGAAAATAAAGTATTCCGTAGAATATTTGGACCAAAGCAGGATGAGTCAACCAGAAAATTGAGACTGTACCTGATAAATAAAATTATAATTGAGGTGATTACATTGCAGTTTATAGAATGGATGTGTAAATTTGTTGGACTTGCTAAAAAAAGAATCTCTAAAAATTTATTATGTGATCTGTTGACTACTAAGCATCTGAGGGGTAGACCGATGCAAAGATGGGAGTATTGTGTTAAGGCTGATCTAGGAGGAAGGGATGGGTTTGGATAGCAATCAATGGATCAAAGTATTTAGACAGAGATTGGTGGTATTATCTTCGAACGTTTAAGTTCACTAAGCTTTTATTATTCATTTTAATGTTATGTTATAAGGTGTTCTCCTATCATAATGAACTTTTTGTTTGATATTGATTTTGTCTAAATAATATTTTTTATTAATTAGAGTAATTTTTTTTCCAACAGTGATGGCACTATATCCTCAAACAACATGCTTTTACAAAGCCCTCGTTAACCAATTACCGACTTCTGTCTTGGACGATTATGAATTGATCTTTGAAGACAGCAATTATGCTGACGGATACGCTCCTCCTCTTAAAGTTGCTCAGAGGTATCATTAATATCACACTCATATTTATTTTCTAATTCAATATGAACATAAGATTATCATTTCAAAATTTTATTTATTTTTAGGTATGTGATTGACATCAAAGAAAGGAAAAAGTCTTAGCATTCGGCCCAACCAAGTACAATATCAAGTGATGAAGAATGATATCTTCTTCTATAATATTGTTCTTGGTTATTGAATTGAGCATACAACCTAAGTTTTAATTAAATAATATATTTTTATTTTCATTGCACATTAGTAAATATGATCAATTGGCTTTAAACGTTTGTAAAATATACAATTTTTTTGTTACATCTAGTTCTTATTTCAAATGAATTAATATTTAATTGTTCATAAATGTTATTGTGTAAATTTTAAAATAAATAAACTGTACTTTAAAGCTATTTTCATTTCATTATTTTAAATTTTCTCTATAAATATTCTTCTCAATTGGAGCAAAAACCTATTGCAGTATCTTGCCTTCCTCAAGTAGCTTCCGCCTGTTTTATTGGTAAAGTACAGTTGTTCTCCAATTTTATATTCCGAGCTGGATCGTTGGATTTTCTCCAATATCTTAGTAGCGGACGATTAATTCATCTGCTCGCTACCTGGCAGCGAAACCTGTGCACACACTCATTATACCCAGAAGTTGTATATTTATTCCTTATTATCTTAATGTAAAAAACTGCAGTTCTAAATTTTAAATATGATTTAATCATAATAGAACGATTACTAATAGTCCTCGGATTGCTAATTCAGAATTGTATTCTTCTGTGTTCATTAATAATAAAAACACATGTTCATACTTTTATTAGTTATTGAATTATAACACATAAAAGCAAAAATTTCAAGGAATCAAAGAAATATTAACTATGAGTTGAATGAGTTAATAACATAATAAAAAAGTAGAAATCAACGGTCAAAAAATGACCATCTTAGGTAAAAATTTAACTAAACACAATTTGATGCTCTACAATATTTATTAGAGATATCTAACATGTTAGAACATCTGTTTCCATTCTTATGTGAAAGAAGAAGTAAAATATAAAATCATTTCATGGATTTATAAAACATATGTTTATTACCTTAAATACATTTACTGTCGCTTAACAATATTAGATCTGATATTATATTTAAATAATTAGGTATCAACGTCTGTTTATTTCGAAACATTTTAGAAAATTCGATTAGTGAATAATTTGATAAATCTTCCCTTGGTGATATTCCAACAGTATCCACTACTATTTCATTGTAGTTGTGTGAAAGAAGAAGTGAAATATAAAAATATCTCATAGATACGTTTATAATCTTACATATATATTTACTGTAATTTAATAACTCTAGATCTGATATATTTAAATATTTAGGTATATGTCGTCCATTTATTCCGAAAAATCATCATGTAACCTTTTAAAAAATTAAATTAGTGAATAGTTAAATGAAATTTCCTTTTGTGATATTCCAACAGTATCCACTTACAATTAGTGTGACAACTTTTGACCTGTCTATGACAGACAATGCAAATCTCTTAGTAAATTTAGCAATGGAAAATAACAGTTTAATAACTAATAGTCGTACAATCCATAATCAATGGATCATGAGATGCATAATCAATGCATCATACAATCCACAATCAACCATTGATATAATAAATAGGACTTTTGTTATTTTACTGGTATTTATGATTTGTTAGCTGTAATTTTTTAGCTTTAGCTTAGTTAAAAATGCAATTAAACAATTTTATAATAGCCCAACATGGGCAGAAAATAATTTTTAATCAAAGTTGAGTGGTAAATCAAAGTGGTATGTTGTGTGCACCAGATTGTTTACTTTCTCTTACCTATATTACATATTACTATATAGTAAGCAGTATAGGAAAGTATTGGGATCATGAAAATTTTTGAATCTGAGTTTTCAACGAAAATACACGTTTGAGGTCTGCTGAGTCCCAAAAAATGGTGTGCTTGTGAACAGTCTATCTCAAAAATGAAAAGTTGCAGGAAACTGAAAATACATATTTAAGTTAATGTGTGTTGTTACATCTGGGATATTACAGCAATTTTTTCCCAATATCCGCTAACCGAAAGTGGGACTTTATATCAACGATATTACAAATTGTTTAGCTTTTATTATTCAAATGTTGTACAAAACATTTTAAAAAGTGGTTTTATTTTCGCTAAGGGGAAAAGATGAGGTTGTGATGGCCGAGCTAAAGCACATGCTTTAGCATTCTCGAGACTAGCAATGTTGGTTCAAAGCCGGCGAGACGAGTTGTAATGTATTTCGTGGCGGACCCACGGAACGAATCTCGACCTTCTCACCCTGGTTAATAGGTTTGGCTACACTCCCTCCCCCCCTCCTGAGTGCCATAAATAAATAGGGGATAATCGAAAAAAAAAAAAAAAGAAAAGAGGATGCACAAATTTGAAAGTTACGAATGTGTTGGTTATTTTTGAGGATACGTTGACTTTAAGCTCAGTTCATTCTTACGAATACCTGTTCATCCTGAAGTTACAGGGAGGCATAGGAGTAAAATTTACGGTTTAAATTAGCAAAAATAACCATATAATCGTTGACCGAACAAAATAAAATAAGAAAAGATAATAAACATTTTTATTTATTTATAATAACAAATCAGGTCATATGGCTTCCCTGTTTTTATCAATATTATATTTTTTATTTTATATACCAGTATTTTAAATGTTGCCGTCGTTGACGGGTGTATAGTTAAAATTTGGGAATATTTTTTTGAGATGGATTTTCTATTATGGAGAGGAGGGTCGAAATTATATTTCATAAAATTGGATCGGCAGGGGATTAGTTGTAAATTGGAGAGGGAAATAAAATTGGAGAGGGAGGTTGTTTTGAATTTTTTTATGGCGGAGCTTATGGAAGTCAAGGTTTCGCAATAGTCATAACAAAAACTTTGTTATTTGTTTAGGTACCACAAAACTAAACCCCCCACCACCGATCCATTAAAATTTGTCAAGGAGATTGTGGAGTCGATTAATTAATCAAAAAGAGTTGTAGTCTCTCCACTTCTTTAAACTCTGCTGAGTTTATCGCTGGAAAAATAAGATTGGACATTGAGTCACCTAAAAATTAGAACTTATTTTGTGGCGGGCGGAATGAAATTTTTGGAGTTTTCAACCCCTGATTTCCTGCTAATTCGTTTGGTTAATCCTAAAAATGTATATGACAATATCTGTTAGTCTCGGAAAGTTGAATTGAATGACGCATAGAATGGGAAGATCGGACAAAGTTGAAAAATTAATGTGTTTTACCCATTTCATGCGACAACGCGCTACAGATGTTAGATATTCCAGATTTTTCCCGTTGAGTTGTGATAATTTTTTTCCATCAGTTGAGTAGTACAACTTTTAAATGTGGCTCTCGGTAGAGTAGGTCGGGATAAGAATCGAAGTAACTGCCTAACCGGGATCTCTAAACAAATTATAAAGAATTCATAACTTTGGTTCTACTCGATATTTTGTTTTCATTTAAAGCCTATATTCTAAATCACGTAAACCTAAATTCAATGTCAAAATTTAAAAGCCTACCATTAACCATTGTCGAGCTTACCCCTGACAAAATTTCGTTGGACAATGACGACACCCAGACAGACAAAAATTTTTTTAAAAAGTGGATTTGATGTCTGGAATGTATAAAACGAAAAGGTATCATGAAACGGGTTGATTCTATTCAATGTACAGACGAAACCTTTATTTTATTTATATAGATGTTCTTTAACCTATAAACATATGTTTATTATTAACATTTATCATCAACATTAACCGAGATCTCTAGTCAAATTACTCAACAATTCGTAACATTGGTTATACTCAATATTTTGTTTTCATTTAAAGCCTGTGTTTTAAGTTAAGCAAACCTTAATATAATGTTAAAATTTCAAAAGTCTACAATAAGCCATTGCTGAGCTTACCTCTGACAAAATTTCGATGCAATGCGGACATACAGACAGACAAAATTTTTTTAAAAAGTGGATTTGGTGTCTGGAATGTATAAAACGAAAAGATATCATGAAACGGGTTGATTCTATTCAATGTACAGACGAAACCTTTATTTTAGTTATATAGATGTTCTTTAACCTATAAACATATGTTTATTATTAACATTTATCATCAACATTAACCGAGATCTCTAGTCATATTACTCAACAATTCGTAACTTTGGTAATACTCAATATTTTGTTTTCATTTAAAGCCTGTGTTTTAAGTTAAGCAAACCTTAATATAATGTTAAAATTTCAAAAGTCTACAATAAGCCATTGCTGAGCTTACCTCTGACAAAATTTCGTTGCAATGCGGACATACAGACAGACAAATTTTTTTGGATTTGGTGTCTGCAATGTATGAAACTGAAAGATATCATAAAACTGGTTGATTCTTTTCAGTGTACAGACAAAATCTTTATTTTATTTATATAGATAACAAATTTATATAGATAACAAATTTATATAGATAACAAATTAGGTCATATGTCTTCCCTGTTTTTATCTATATTATATTTTTTATTTTATATATAATAAATAATACATGAGTTATTATTTTGAAAAATTTTGGTTGGTCTTCAGTTCAAGGAGCTCAAGAATTCCTATTAAAAATCGTTTAAAAAACGCTTATTTTCAAATAATAATTTTGCCGTTTGAATATTCAAGGTTAAAATAAAGCTTCATTAACATGCGATGTAATACTTTTTTCTTTTTTTTTTCTAATTCAACAAAGAATAAAGAAAATAGTTTATTGTAATTATAATGTTTCATTATCATTATTAAACATATGCTTATATTTGATTTAGCCTGTTAAAATTATTGTTAACCTGAAATTCTCTTTTTGAAATTATCGAAAATTGACGAGTTTAGATGCAAAAGTTTTAATCAAAAAACGAAAAAATTATAGGGGGCGTAAATAATTAAAATCGATTGTAACCACCCGCTTTTCCAATGCCTCTTAACAAAATACTTTGTCGAGCGAAGACGAGGAGGAGACCTCCGCCTTTCTTCAATCTGCTTCAAGATTTGCGAAAACAGTTTCCAGATCTTTCGCCGGTTGAGGTAAGTCAACATTGTATTATTTGTTTAATATTCTATTAAATATTGGTATAAATTATTAAATCTACGGTAAAATAACAAATAAATACAAGCAATAGAACATATATTTGTATATCACAATTAACTAATTAAACTAGGTCCTTAAAGTCAAACAAAATTATTTTTAAAAATATTGATTGGTCCTCAGTTCTTGCCTTCACAATAACCCTAACCCTCCATGTTGGAATCAACCACAGCCAACTTAATATTATTTTCGTTAAATCTGTTAATGTGAGTTTAGACCACGGGCGGATCTACAGGGGGGGGGAGGGGCTTTCGGGCTGAAGCCCTCCTCCCAAAAAATGGTAAAATATAACCATGTTTTATCGAAAAAAATATTTAAAAAGTATCTCTTAAAGTATTATTGTTCGTGTGATTAATATTAATAGGGCTTTAGGAATCACTTAAACATCATTTCATACAACTATAATATAATAATATTACAGTTTCTTTCTTTTTTTCCAAAGCAATTATCATTATTTTTGTGAAAAGAAAAGCTTTCGGGCTGAAGCCCCCCCCAAAAAAAAATTAAATCCTGGATCCGTTAGTGGTTTAGACATTTCTCAAACTATGGAAATACAATTATCTAACTTAACTAACAACGACATTATTGTTTGACCAAACTATTTATTTCATTTCTCTTGATACCTATGGATGGAAGATGGAAGATGGAAAATATAAAAAAACAAGAAATAAAAATACTAACATTGCAAAATAACCATTTATATATTTGTTTGTCTCATAATTTGTTAAATGTCAAACACACCTTTATAGTATATTCAAGTAATGTAATATTATATTCATATAATATTTAAATCATTATGAATAAGTAATCAAATATAACAACTGTTTAATAAAATAATTGATAATTATTAAATTTAATATATTCTATCATTGTAAAAGTTGATAGTATTAATTAAATTAATTAATTAGACGTAAAATAAAGATGTTAAACAAAAATAAAACGATGTATTGATAATATATGTTGGCGATTTATCAATATCGTTAATAATATTTCATGTATTTTATTCTGTATCAACAATATTTATATGCCGATTAAGATTAAGTAATTACATTACAATTGCAAACGATAAAATACTTGATTTAACATAATTTTTATCTTTGCACATTTCTAAATCATCGGAATCCGAGAATTCCCCGACATACTGTTACACTTTGTTTTTTATTTATTTATTTATTGTGTATATTTTTATTTTTGAATTTAATTGATTAGCTTTTATATTTTTTTTTAAATTGATTATTTGTTTATTGATAAATATTACAATCTGTCTCAATAAAGGACATTTATAATAGAGTTCTGAGAGCACATTCACACCATTAGCTTTTATATTAAAATTTTCATTTTAAGAATAGGAAAAAATCCTAATTAAGGAAAAAATAATTATGTTTAAATGTACGTATTCTATAGTTATTAATTTTATAAAGTAAGAGTATCCGTCTAAATACGAATAGAAGCTTATCTAGTCCGAGGCAACCTTTAGTTCGATATGTATATATACATGGTGTATATATACATGACACTATTTTAAATAATTATCGTAATGAAGTTGAGTATAAACTGCAGTTACTTCCTGAAAAAAAAAATGATTTGTACTATTATCCTCAACTATTTCTTTTTCCATTTTCCAGATAGCAAAATTGGGTGGAAAAATATGGCGGGAACTGAAACCAGAAGAAAAAGCGATGTACATGAAGTTGGAACAACGACAGGCCAAGACACACCGCCATAGATAGAATAACCATTATTTCATTCCCGTTTTTGTGACAATAAATTCTAGTTGTGTTTTTTCCAATTTGTTTTTGTAATTATTATTTTATTATAAATATAGGCTTCATACAGCTTGGTTTATATTTATTACTAACTAAGCAAAGACTCTCCCCAATCTCCTCCATTCTGGTTTCTGGTTCCTGTAATCCATTCAATATATTTTATTGAAAATTACCCATAACTTTCAATTCTCTAAATAGATAGATAAAACAAATAGAAAATAGTCCTCGTTCTATTTTTCAGAACCCCTCGATTCAGTTAATCACGAAATCCTCGTTTCCAAACTCCAAAAACTCTCCATATCAAAAAATCTGGTGCGGTATGCGCATCACACAAATTTCACTTACCACCCTCTTCTTAAAAGAAATAAGTATTTACAGAGAAAGCGAAGTGAAAGTAACAATTATAGACTCTATATTTTATTGTGGATATTTTTATTTGTATAAGTACCCTCATATATACAAATTTTAATATTTATATCGTTGTAATCTATACAATCAAATATTAAATAATACCAAAAATAGCCTTTATGAAAACCACATTTGTATATTTATATAATATTGTCGGAGTCCGTATTATATTAATCTCATGATACGTATAGAACTGTGTTCTAATCTTGCGGGCAGTTAACGAATCGGAGGCAGTGAAGACTTTATGAGTAATGGTTTTATTCCTAATGTTACAAATGGCATCTAAAATACAGAATAATAAACTATGGATATATGGTTTGACTACACGAGCTCACCCTAGGTCTCCTACAGTTAAGAGTGTGACTTCAAGGAATTAACTGCATGAGTGATTAGTCCAGAGAAGGATGGAGTTTATATTCCCAAGAATATCAAGGGGTGAAGGGAAGAGTGGGAGAAGTCGGAAGAGGACAGCAAAGGAAGTTATCAATAGTTAATATTCTATCAGTTAATATGGGCTGCAAGCAATGCTTTGAAGATGAACGTTGAGAATACCAAAGTCATTCCCATTCGTTCTAAGCATCTTGTCAATTCCATTCCTTACTATCTCCAACTCTTCCGTAATAGGCTATAAATTCGCTTCCACACTTCCGTTAGAAACATTGAGGGTCATTTTTGATCAATGCTTATCCTGGAACAATCATATTTCCCAAATTACCCGAAAAATCGATTGCTTCTCACAAAAATTTTCTGGGAATCCGTGATTTTTGGCACCTAAAAACCCGCCAGCTTCTAGCTTCCTCTCTTATTTCCCCCCACGATTAAGGCTGCAATGAACACGGTTGGCTTCAGATCAGATTGAAGAGACTAATAGATTGTTTCATTAGATTCATCTTTAGAGTTCCCAGGTGCACCAATGTCTCCAGTTGGTATGCCGTGTTGAAGTTGCTCTATTCTGTTTTTCCGACGGCAATATTTCCTAGGTTCATAAGCGTTAATTTTATTAGTCTGGTCAGTTTCTTGGGTGTGCCTATAAAAATTACCATATATTTCAAAATGAACATATATAGTATGTTAAAGTTAATACTACTCTATTTCTACATTAGTCTTCAATATTTCTCCAACTTAGGTTGAACTTTTAAGAGGCGTTTTAAAAATATATATGTGTGAGAAAAATACGTTTTCGTATGAAAAATCAAAAGCAGAGGATGCAATTTTATTAAACTAATCTCGGTATGACAGAACACAACCTCTGAAAATTTCATCGGAATTGGATTAACGTATTCGGTGTTATAACAGTCGATTTATTCAATTATAACGATAGATTTATATTCTGGGGACAACAATACTTTTCACTAACAGCTTGATTTATTTTCCTGTTAATACAATCATTTGTAGGCCACTGTAGTTATTTTGTTTGTGCCAATCTAATCTAATGATATCCATATAAAAGTTAAAGCAATTTTAATAAAATCGATGAAAAAGTATAGTCAATTTGCCAGAATATACATCACTTTATGGAAGTTGCATTGATTTTAACTTTTTCCTCTTTATTCAATTATATTAAATTTCTTCAAAAACAATAAAATTAATAATGGTTGTAGATGTTTTTATGCACGCATTGTTAATTTTTGATTACATATATTCGATACATTTATAAACTTAAGTATAGGCGCAGAATTTCGATTTTGATTGGAGGGGCGAAAAGAAAAAACAAAATGACTGGAGTTTTTATTATGTTTAAAAATTCTACATAATTATTATGAAACGAAGAAATATAATATTTAACATTTAAAATTAATCTCTTTATATGTTTGTATAATTTTAAGGTTTTTTTTTGTTATATTAATAATTTATACTTAGAAATATCTTTAAAAAAAAAGAATACAATTGAATATATAACGTATTAGTTCAGATTAAACACAGAGGAGAGAGGAGGCAGCCTTCGTAACATTTGTACATTGCTAGAACTTTTTCAGCTACAAAGGAATAATGTAATGGAGTTAAAAATAACTTTGATTTCTTAATGTGTACAACCTCAAAAAATAATACGTTTTCCACAGTCCGACTGGTTTGCCGCGGAAAATGTGATAAGAATATCACGAGATAATTAGGGGGAGATTGATTGATAAAATCTTAGAATATGTTAATATATATTATTATATATATTTTTTTTGGTTTAATTTTTTTTATTCACACTTGTCATAATGGTAATGACAACGAGTGAATGTAAGGTCGATTGGAAGAAATAATGTCATGAAAGGCATTACGAGGATCAGTGCCCAGCCAGCGGCACCTCACTCGGCGTGATATCTACATTAGGCGAGGAGGTCCCTCATCCAGCTCCTCTTCAGTCTTCTACAGACGTTACCTGACATATTCGTAGTGGCCGTGTCATTTATAAGTGTATTAGGATGTCCTTGTAAGCTGTCATGGAATTGTTTGTAACGAGTTCGTTAACAGTCGGCATATGGAGGTCAGTATGTAAGGTTATGTTGCTAACGTACCAAGGTGTTTTTGTAATTGTTCTGAATGTTTTTGCTTGAAAGATTTAAAGTTTGTTTAAGTGAGTCTTTTTAGCAGTTCCAAATATCTGTGATGCTTAAGTCCAAATAGGTTTTCTTAAGTAATTGTATGTGTTCAATTTCTGTCTGTTTTAGTTTTGAATTTTTCGAAAGAAATGAACTCAGAATTCTTAACCTTTGATTTAGCGTTTTTTGATTATATAGATAATTTTATCATCTTATAAAAATAAAATTAACAATTAGGTATCAATAAAATAGTTACATAGCTATTGCTATGCCCTAGCATAGCCAGATATTCGACTTTTCTTAATTGATATTAATGTACACATTTTATTCATTCTAGTAGCTTATTTATTCTTGATTTTAATTTCTTTTTACCTCAAATTATATTCGCCCTATCAAAATTTTTATTGCGGGGGGGGAGGAGGAAATTGCCCGAAGTCTGCGCCAATGGATTCAAGTGTCTCAATCACATTGAATATCTAAATTAGGGTTTCGAATTATCTCGGAAAAACGTTTTCATCGAACCAGAAATTACAGAACAAACATTCAAATTGCCCTTTTTTTTTTCATCATCTTATTATGAATTCCTTTGTGAGTAAATAATGAGTAAACAATCGTTTTTTGAAGGATTATAAGAACTCTGAAGAGAATATTTCAGACCAAATCAGTGATCGATAACGACTGACAAAGCCGATTTCTGTTTGTAATTTTTAATTATATTTAATAACAACTGTTGGGAAATAATTACTTATATGAATATTTAACATTAAAATATCTTCCTTACGATGGTGTCCTATTCATTTTATTTTGATATCGTTAAACAATATTTTAACTTCTTGCATATTCAAAGTATCGCGATGATTTTATGTCCAGAAGAAGGTAAAAGTAATTTAATGGAATATTTTTTTTTTTTTTTAAATAATAAGACACATAATATAGGAAGAGGAATGCTGAAGATTAAATATTCGAGACGCTTATTATAAATTTGATACAAAACAAATTATCGTTATATATATTTGTATACATTTATATATATATATATATATATATATAATATATATGTATATATATATATATATATATATATATATATATATATATATATATATATATATATAATATATATGTATATATATATATATATATATATATATATAAAAACGATTTTTCGAATATGCTATAAAATAGCAGTTTTTTTATTTTTGTTTCTGTTTATGTTTACATTATTATATTTTAGCAAATTTGAAAAGAATTATTTTCTTATTTGTTCACCTAAAAAACTTAAATATTTTTTATCAGTTACAAGAATGAAAGAAGTTTTTTTTTTAGAAAAAAAGTAAAATAATTTGTAACTATTAAGGAAAAAAATAGTACACCTTTACACAAACTAAGGAGAGAAAGAAATTGAAAATTTAAATAAAAGACTGATTTAGTTAAAATTAAATATATCTGAGTTTCATATTAAATTTGATTTAATTATAGATGTATACATTTTTATTTTTGTTATTGTTTTATTATAATTTTAAGCATCCTAATGTTGTGTATAGGAGAGGTGTATAAAGAGGGATAAACAAAGATAAGTGAGAGGAAGGGAAATTAACTGTTAAAAAAGAAAGAAAAAAAAAATCATGAACAATGAAAGGAAAAAAAAAGATATTTATATTATGTATTTATTATACTCATATAAACTAACCATTTATGTATATTTATATATAAGTTTATTTATTTTCCTACGGATGTGCATATAGCAACCCAATATAATTGGGCAGCAACCTTTTATATTTTATTTGAAAATAAAGTGTTTCTCTCTCTTTTTATTTTTCAAAAAGCGACAATTTTGGAATAATTTCCTTCTTAGAACTTCCGGTTGTACTATCTACGATAATGGTTACTGTTTAATGTTTCTATCTATTTATTTATTTTTAATTTCGATCGTATTTCAGGTTTGAAAGTAAACCTTTTAAAGGAAATGTCAGACAAATCATTTATGTTATCTTTTTCGGTTGATTCAATTCGAGATAATCCAATAATCAGAACTGGTACTGTTCTCGATATTTCATGCCGAAATACTTCATTGATTTTACAAATGGTAACAGCCATTGACTTTATTATTAATATACCATATATTAAGTAAGTGAAACAGGCTTAAATTAAAATAACTAATAATTTTTTATAGATGTCAGCAAGGAAGATGTTTAACTCCGACATGGAATGGCTCCTAATGGAAGAAGTGAAAACGACAGAATCTTTTCAAAAAACTGCAGAAAATGAGGTTTTGGAAAACACATTGGCACTTCCCGGAAGCTGCGTAACTCTTGCCCAAATTTCAGAAAAGGAAAGAAGAGTAAAGTTGTATGAGATTTATAGAACAGCGATGTGGGAGCCAATGAAGTATAAATTTCTCACGCAATATTTTATCAACGGTTCGAAGGAATTTTATTTTATTAGAGGCTACAGAAAGTTCGATGGCGTCGTTCTTAGATCAGCTTCGGCTGTAAGTTTGTGTACGATATATTGGAAAACACACAATTGTTAGAATGATATAAAATGTAATCATCAACATTTTTATAGAGTAATTATAATTTGAAAAAGGTTCTATATTAAGCAGGGTAGTAAACCGGATTTTTTAAAGAGGGAAAAACTTAATTATGATTTTATGTCACCATTTAGTAAAAATCTAATTTTTTTTACATTACAATACTTTAAATAGAAGTAAAAAACAGGTGAACCTTTTATTGCCCATCTAATCTTTTGTTATTGAAATAACAATCATCTTATGAATAAGCACATTCGATTAAAATAACGAAAAACAAGGCAAAATGTTTTTAAAATGTCTACGTTGTGTGCTCCACACAATACCACACGATAGAATTAAAAATATCAACAAGGCGGACTTGATAATATGAAATATAGTTATTTTTTTGTTCTATATTCAAAAAGTGATAACATTTACAATATATAGTATAATAATTGTGTTTAAATTACTCTAGTAAACTTTTCTCTGACTGAGGGTCATTATTTAGAATGGAATTCGCTCTGGTTTTTGACACTATTACAACTTTTTGCCTCTATAATACGTCGTCACGTCAATATAAAATTTGAAATAATAGCTGATTACAAAGAGGATGGAATGATGAACAATTCAATTAGTCTGCTTTAGATTATCCGTTACACATCAGAAATCTGAAGGCTCAATCTAATTCACTCTCCATAAAAAAAAGAGCAAAACGAGCCTAAAGAAGTTTTCTCTTAAAAAATTCCAGATGATTTTTTTTTTTTTTTTTTTACAGTGTTTGTAAGTCTTCCCGACTAAGTTCTCAAAATATACATAAAATATTTGTTTGCCTATATTGCGCTATATGCGAAATAGAAATTATTCCGTAATATTAAGGTAATATATTGTATTTCGACATAGATTATAGTGTGGAAAGAGTACATTCAAACCATAATGCCATCTAAATCTTTATACGCTCACATTATATACGGAGAAGCCAGAAGCCATCCTGATCGGATCCCCCTCACTCCTCAAATCCATTCCAGTACTTCCCAATCTTATCCTGAACAACTCACCTACCTCCTTCCATACTACCGTAATCTTGGCGTTACCCTCGATCAAAACCTCTCCTGGGAACCATACTTCTCCCAAATTTCCCGTCGTACTATTTCCACCCTAAAACAGTTTAACCATCTACGTTATCTTCTTCCATTCAAAACCGGTCTACTCCTGGTTCCATCTCTTGTTTTCCTCCACTTCGACTATGGCTGTATGCTGGATGGTGGATTCTCGGGAGAACTCGAAGTAAAGCTTCGAGCTAACGTCTAATTGCTCAATACGCTTAATCTTCGGGATATCGAAGGATACGCATATTACCCAGTTTTACAGCGAGTTAAGGCGGCTTTATCCGTCCTACCGCCGTCAGTATTTCCTTGCTATCTTCCTATACCAGGCTATTAGAACTCAGCGAACCGCCTATATTTTACAGATAGTATAATTCAAATGCTCCTTTCAATTCATAAATACATACACTATTTACCATCTTAAGGGAGCGGCATTTTAGAGATAATTGGAATTAAAGAAAGGCGGTGTGGTGGAGCTACGTCAAGCTTTCCCATAGGTCATCTGATTCTTATTAGCTTCGAAAAGTATTTCCAGCTTCAAAACTTTCGTCTAAGTATTTTTCAATTTCTTCTTTAATTCAGTTGTCTATAAAAAAAATCATTTCGTTTAAAATGTATTTTATTAGCTTTTATAAATAGATGTTAATAAAGCAGAGTTGAGGCACAATTTGATAGCAACATTTTTCACAACCCTACATGCCACAGTACCGTGTATATGTCTCAGGTCGCACCCTCAGTCCCCACCATACTTCCAAGACGCACGGCTATTTCAAGTTTTTGCTAAATATGAACTTTTTTTAAGTGAAAACTTCTTTAGGCGCGTTTAGTACTTTTTAGTGTAGGGTTAATTAGATTGAGCCATCAGATTTTCGATGCATAATGCTTGGTTAGAGTCGGCTAGAGTCGCTATTTGAAGTGTTTTTGCATATGGATTACAATATCTCAAAAACTAAAAAATCTACAAATTGTTAGCAAGGGCAGTGTTCATCATTTCACCCTCTTTGTAATGAGCTATTATACGAAATTGTATCTTAATGTTTAATAGTGTCGAAAACCGAATGATAACGAGTTGTATGATAGTTGTATGAATTAAAATATCTCAGAAACTAAAATTCGGAACCAAGCGAGAGAAATGTTCAGCATCTCATCCTCTTCATAATGAGCTATTATTTACAATTTACATTTCATATTATTAATCTCGCCTTGTTGATGTTTTAACTTTATTTTTATTACTTAAAAGTGTAATCTCAATCCTACATAAGTTATTGATAATTATCGATAACTAATGAGATATCATGGAATTCTATTGCTCCTCAAACTTGAGTGATTTTGTTGTATTGTAGGTTTGAAGAGAATTATAATTAATAAAATATTTTTAGATATTTTATCCAGAATTGTTTCTTGGTTGGGAAAGCCAAGAGAACAAAGAAGTGGATACCATTTGCAAAGCTTCCTTTGCATTCGTGAAAGTAATTGCAGATCATCTTAATTATAGGTATGTTTAATTATGATGGAACTTAAATTTTTATAAGAGTATATAGTCATATCATTGCATAATTTTCATCATAATACATATATATTGTAAGTTTGGACATATATATTGAAGAAATCCAAAATATTTCAACTCTTGTACTTTTATCGAATGAAGTACTCGTTTATTGTTAAAAATACTATTATCGAAATGATTATGAGAAAACAGAAGGTATTTATGAGAAAAGATATGCCCTTTTTGTATCGCAACCATCAAGTGTATCAGAAATTAAAATAATCGGTTCACGAACAGCACGAGTATTTAACTAAAATACTCTATACTCTGTACTTCTTTAATTCAGAGTACTTTTATTCCTTTTCTAGTAGGAGGTGTGGTCGTGGAATAAGGCCTACTCTCAGATATAACTAAAATTTTAATTTAACGTTACGTAGATTTCGTGAAATTTTCAATAAATTTAAATTAATTTTTCCTCTGAGTATGTAAAAAAGATTAATCTATGTAAAAATATTATTTGTAATTGTGTTTATTTCTATAGAAGTTCAACCTCCTCGTCGTGGTATCGACTTTATGTGTTATTTTTACACATATTTTTATATTCCAGCTTGAATAGTTTTGTTCTGTTTGAAGAAAAGTCTTGGCCTCGATAACTCTAAAAAAAAAAAAAATTGAAAAATAGTCGAGAGCAGTAAAATATGAAATTATAATAATAAATCATAACGAAACAATTAGTTTTTATGCTTTCCTGTAAAACACTCAATATTTACATACGGTTTTTTGCAATACCAGTAGTTTCATGTTCATGTTCAGTACTCACTCGATTTTTTTTTTAATTCCGAGTCATCAAATATGTATTTTTTGCACTTTAGTATTCGCTGATGAACAAAATTCGTAGAAATCAAATCCGCATATGTTGATGGCTTCTTCCAGAGATTTTATTCGCATACGAATAATTTTAGACCTTGTAATATATATATATATATATATATATATATATATATATATATATATATATATATATATATATATTTTAATGAATGCAAACGGTGAGGAAGCTATACCGACCTTCCTTGGCAGACGTTTTTTCCTTGTCTTTTCTTTATGACCCCCCTCCTTCACTTAGCTGGAGAAAAATTTAAATAGAGATATCAGTAGTCAATTTTAGCCATTGAAACGGGCATTCGTCACTTACCCCTTATAATTCTCTTTCGTTTATCCCATTCATCAACATTCATTATGATCGATAATAACTATTATAAAAAGTGTCGATCATTTAATTCAACCACGACCATTATTTATTTGAAGTTATATTTTTACTAAGTATATGAGTTAATCTTAATTAAGCTTATTTCTTGAGAAATTTTTTTCAAGCAAAAAAAAAATTCTTCTGATTTTAGTATCACACTCAAGTTCCTGACCTCCTACGGTTACCAAACAAACGGGTCGTTCAATGGCATCATGGGTTACTTGCAAAGAGAAGAGATCGATGTGACAGCTACTGGATTGATGATGAACGTTGACAGAATGCCTTACGTGGATTTCGTCGGTGACATCTTGGTATTGAGGTCTGGTACTTTATTTTAAGTATAGTTTTTATTTCTAACACTTCCAACATCGGATTAGAAATGTTGGAATTAATAACGCAAAATTATACTTACTTATATTAATTATACACTTATATATATATAATTCTGGGATCACTGAGATCCTAATGAAAGGCTTTTCATTGAGTAAATTACAAGTGTGGTTTAGGGTCTGATAACATTTGATATGTCTGAGCTTACAATCAGAAAATTTATGTAGAACATGTTTTTTTATCCGCTAAGCAAATAACTCATTTAAAAAAAAAAACTTCGTCGCAAACCTATGACTGCCCTATGGTATCCTTTAGCAATACTCCACTTATCTCTGTTGAACAAATCCGATACCCAGGCAGCCACCTGGACAAACGACTCACTTGGAATCCTCATACCAGACGGAAACGACAAGTAACCGCTCGACGTTTTCGACTACTCCAGCACTTACTAGACAAACGCTCTAAACTTCCAATTACTTCCGAAGACTTATATATATGACTATAATAAGGCCTATTTGGACTTACGGAATCGAGCTTTGGGGCTCTACTAAACCATCGAATTCCTCTCGTATTCAATCCTTACAATCCAAAATCCTAAACTTAAAATCATCCATAACAACCTTCAGGTACCATATGTTTCCGATTTAGCCCAATCCCGATACCTATCCTTCCATAATAAACTTCTGAACCATCCTAACGCTCTTGTTTCCAATCTTGCTTCCTCTTCTATTCCTGACAACCCTCCAAGGGGTCTGAAAAGAAGATGGCCTAGGGATCTTCTAATGTAGAACTTTAATTTGAGTTCTGCTAATGGGTAGTTTATCTTCATGTTGTACATGTCATGTTACCAATGTCACATTTACTTGTTGCATTTTTCATGTAATACAGTTGTAAATTTCATATAAAAAAAAATATTCCTCAATCGTTTGGCTAATAATTTACGACTATTTGAGAGTTCTGATGCATTGGAGTGTTCTAATTGAATCTTTACAATCATTTTTGCTCTAATATTTTATATAGTTAATACTTATAATAATTGGAATTGCGGATAATATCTCCAACAGTTGTATCTCTATATTTTATTTAAAAGTTTATAATAACTATGATTTTTTTGTATTCAGGAGCCCGTTGATATTTCGACAGCCTGGGTTGTCCAGTGTTTCGAATTTGTTTGTCTTACCTTTTCGTAAGACAGTTTGGATATCGATTGTGGTAGTGACGTTTCTGTATTCCATGGTCTTGTTCCTCAACCTCTTTCTCAAGATGAGGCTTTTCCGCCTAAAGGAAACAGACGACTCATCAGTGGCTGAAATACTTTCCGTCATTATGGCCTACGTTTGTGGACAAGGTTAATTTTACTTTTATATTGTTGTAATACTCAATAAATACATTTTTTAAAAATTACTTCACATATGTATGTTATTCAATTTTTCTATTTCTTTTTTCCTTATTTATTTTCCTTTTTATTATTGTTTAGGAACAGGGCTTGAACTGAGGCCAGGAACGGGAAGGATTACTCTGTGCATCTTATCCATGTTCTGTTTTTTTCTCTCTGTGTCGTTTTCTGCCAAAATTGTCGCACTTCTACATTCTTCAGCTCATACTATCAAGTCATTGTCAGATCTAACTCACGGCCCGATGTCAGTTGGGATGCAAAACGTCGTTTACAACAAACATTTTTTCTCGGTAATTACTAAAAAAAGAAAAGATTATTACATTGGTAAGCCACAGTTGACATAAGTTCATCTATTTATTATTTTATCATATACCACACCTTCTACAGATTTCAAAAGACAAAGAGGTTAGCGAATTATTTCAGAAAAAAATTCTGCCTCAAGGAGAAAAAGCTATCATGAAACCAGATATTGGTATTAAGAAAGTTAAAGATGGTCTTTATGCTTATAAGGTACTTTAATGAAGTTTGATTAATTTTAGAATTGTAAATCCTAAAATACTCTTATCATTTTATTTTTTTTTTACTTTAGGTGGAAACTCCCTGGGCTTACACTCTTGTAACTAGAACATTTGAAGATAAAGAAAAATGTGATTTAGATGAACTGCACCCGTTTAAAATGCCAACGGTAGCTGTGGGTCTCCAAGAAAAATCGGGATATAAAGAACCAATTGCAAGGAGGTAATGGTATTTCTGTCATTGTAAATCTGGTAAAATATAAAATGATAGATTGGCTGTATTTGCTCAGGCTCGTAACAAGGGAGGGATAAAGAGGGGAAATATTATTTTGTCCTTCTGCTGTCAATCCAAGTGTCAAATTAAACATTTTTTTTAATAAAGAACAAATAAAGTAAAATTTTTGACCTGATAAATGGATCTCGACCCTCCCACTCTGGTTAGAAAAGGTTTGGATGTGGCTATAGAACAACCTCTCCGTATGCCAGAAATGGCGAAGTAGGGCGAAAACCAAAGAAATAAGTAAAATTTGGCATGTGGATTGACAATGGAAGTACAAAATAAGACTTGAAAATTGCAATAGTGCTGGCAGAAACGTTCTATTAAAATTGTAATATAAATAAAACTATGGTGGTTAAATGGCCTAGTGAACAGAAGAAATTAGGAAACCAAAAATAAGAAATAAGATAGAAGTAAGTTCATCCACTTCTTGCTTCTGTCAACACATTGGCGTAGGTAGAGTTTTCAGCCCATTCCTCAATTCCATTTACGCCTCTAAAGGCGGAATTCCACTCTGGCAACACTAAACGAAATGTAGCTTGATACTTGTTTCCTAGTGTTGCCTATTGTAGACGTCCGACTATGTGGCACAAAATTTAATTGATGTCGCATGCGGAATTTGTTGCCCCCACGTCGCATGCGCTTTATCGTACACTTGTGTAGCGTGCGACTAAAGCGATTCCTTTCAGGCAACTTCAGTTTGGTATATCATGTCATTACAAACAGTCGCGGTAGCTGCATATTTGGTAATCGATTTGAATCATAAAAAGAAAAGAAAAACACCACGATATTATAGAAGAGAACATTGATAAATCGATGGTCAAGAAATTCGGTATAATTTTGTAAACTATTAAAGAATAGTGGAAAATTTATTATAGGCCGAGAGTCTGTGAGAAAAAAATCGACATTATTTGATTAAAACTCTAAAAGCATTTTTTTTTTTTTTAGCTTGTATATAAAGCTTCAGAAATGTAAAAACAGGGTAATGAGGTATAAAAAAAAATTCATTAGGAAATAACGAACCCAGTCCGAGAAATATAATTGATCTATATTAAAACTGTTATTACTCAGTGGACTCGGTCTAATCCCCTAAAAAGACTCTTTTCAGAGCCATTTATAGTAACATTTATCAGTTTTTAATGTATTTAGTAAAAATCAGCGTTCGTTGACCGTGGTTAACTAACATATCACTTAACCAAATTATTAAGTTTAAGTACTCGTTCGACGTACAATTTAACTTTATTTAATTAATGAAAGAAAAGGTTTTTCGCTTTATTGCAACGTTTTTTGAACTATAGGTGAAAAAAAAAAGAAGGTCGAAATAATCTGGTTTTTTGGTTGTATAAAGTTTAGCCTTGGTGGCCATGCTTGTTTTTCCGTCAATGCCGCATGCTAAATGTTGCCTCAGTGGAATTCCACCTTAATATCCCTCAGCACCCTTGCAACATAATTTTCATCTTCACTAGCGATATATCAATTCCGACTTCCCTTAGAAATCTAACTGAATTTATTTATTCAATAAATTTCATTGATTTATATTCAAATCTATGTTTGTTTTCATAAAATGTTAATATTTGTACTGTTGACATAACTCGTTGACATAATATAAATGGAGTTGAATTAATGGAAATGACCTTTAGTCTGCAATTATTTTAGTACTGAAGCAATCATACCAAATTTAAATTTTGTACTGTAATTTACAACTATAATGTTGAAGAAATACTTTGTATTTCACTCAAGTATGCACTTCCTACATCAAGTTTTTTTTTTCTTAACGATATTTACAACTGTATTAAAGAAATACATTTAGTAAATTTGAACATATGGATATTATGACGTGAAAACACTTGCTGAGTTTTTGCACTCTAATGATATGTCTACATTAGGAGATCACGGGGCCACCTTCTTTTCAGAAACCTCGGAGGTTATCATGAATTGAAGAGGAAGCAAGATTAAAAACGAGAAGATTGGGATGGTTCTGAAGTTTACTATGGAAGGATAGGTATCTGGATTGGGCCAAATCTGAAAAATAAAAAACCTTAATTGTGGATGGTTTTATTTGTAACAAAGTAGGGAGCATTGAGGATTTGACGAAGGATTTTGTATTGTAAGGATTGGATACGAGAGGAATTCGATGGTTTAGTGGTGCCCCATAGCTCAACTCTGTAAGTCCAAATAGGCCTTATTATAGTCATGTATATGAGTCTTTTGTAATTAATTGGAAGTTTAGAGCATTTGTCTAGTAAGTGCTGAAGTAATCGGAAACGTCGAGCGGTTTCTTGTCGTTTCAGTCTGGTATGAACATCAAGTTAAATTAATATTTAAAATTTGTTTTTTACAGCATTATATTACAGCGAAATTTTATATTTGTCCATGTCTTTACTAATAGGATAAGGAGGGGCATGATGAAGATAAATTTTTTTCTGGGCCATTGTAAATAGATTTAAGAAATGAAATTTTTATGACAACTTCTTTACTACATTACCTAATACCGAGAGTTTTTGCTATACGGGATAGAAAGACAAAAATACCAGAGGTTTTAAAACATCACAATGGACAAATAAAATAACTTTATCAACTTATAATATAAACAAGAAATATAAAACTGTGAAAGAAACTACAAACTATTATTAAATTATACAAACACTTAAATTTATTTAAATGCAGAGGTCGCATTCATAGTCCTTGTGACTGGTGTTTATCTGGCCCAATCAGGAACAATCAGAATGAGCCCACTTAAGGCACTTGCAGGACTGGTACCACAGCCCATCCTTGTTTTCCTCCGAGCACAAGATACAGAATTTATCTTTCCCTCTCACGCTATTTTGACCAAGCTAACATTTATCAGTAACTCCATTGTGAAAGAAATGGATCTCCAATGAGCCTGAGTTATGGATTTGTACATTCAGAATAGTTTAGAGAAAAAGTCGAAAAACTTATACTACTGACTCCTTGCGTTTTGAGATTCGAAAATTACTTCAATGTGGTCTGTATCTGAACGTTTAGTCACAACTTAACTCATCATGAACACATACTTGTTTATAATATTCAATTACATTGTCATCCACTATACTAATCCTATACTGGCAAGGATGTACTGCAGCCTGTGTTTGATAATGAAAATTATTGAATTTGTATAACGCCTTTTCCTACACCTGTGAAAAATTTAAAGAGAATGTGAGATGGTGTGGTTTTGACTCTTGGTTTGGTTGACTAATCAATTACATGGATGAAACAAAACTTTTAGGACTTTCAGTAAAGATATTTTTATTATTAGGTTAGTCAACGTTTCAAACCAAAAATGTACGTCATCCTCAGAGCTGTCATTAGGGATTCGAGACACGAACTCCAGCTGGATGATCTGCATGTTTAGGTCGAAACGTCGGCTAAGCTAATAATAAAAATATCTTGACTGAAAGTCCTAAAAATTTTGTTTCATCCAAAAATTAATTTATATGTTGTTCGTAACAACAATATAAAACTATGCTAATAATATTGGTTAATAAAAAGATTAAAGAGAAACACTTAACTTTATTGTGTAATTATCATAATATATTTCTTTATTGTTGACTGTTTAACATTGATGTTTTACTGAAATAAAGTATTCTAATTGTTTAAGTTAATGATTTTATTATTTCACAGTTTTTCCAGAATCGTGGAAACAGGATTAAAACAGCGCACAATGAATTTGTATTACCCTCAGAAGCCATTTTGCAATTTACATAACATAGGCTACTCCAGTGTTAAGCTGACAGATTTCAAACCAGCACTGGACTTCGTTTTGTATGGCCTAGTCTTTTCTTTTATATTACTCTTGTTTGAACTCCTTTACACGACCAGGTAATGTAAAATTTGAACTTTTAAATATACAAATTATTTCTCCTTCAACTTATTAAAACAACAATTCTGTTGGTTAAATGTGTAATTTTCAGAAAAGACAATTTTTCGTAATGAGTTTCAATTTTATCCAATTATTATTTTAAAAATGTTTAAATTGAATTATAGAAATATGTAAATTATTAGAGTTGGTTTAAATTGAAGCTAGAATAACCCTTCTTTATCAGGAATCCGTTTAACCCGTGCTACGTTAAAGATGTCGTTTCATCAAATGGGCCATGTTTCTTCTTAGCCATTTTTTTTTTTTTTTAATTTTTTATTCTTTCTGATAATATAATTCCTATAAAACTTTTTATTATATATTTAGCTAAACAAAGTGAAGCAACGATAACTATATGGGTACCAACATAATTTATAAAAAAATATAAATCGGTTTGCCAATATGCATTCTGAAAAGAACTTTTTATATGGAGGTGTGTGATAAAAAGATTCTTTAATGTTAATAAACCAATTATTTATTTTATTTAAGATTAAAAACAAAATAAACATATGTAACAAAATATCATTATTTCAAGAAAAGTTAGTAGATATCTCTATAAAAATTTCAAAAACTGTAAGATTATTATTCTAAGGAACATCGGTAAGACTAGAAACATTACAAGTATGAAGAGATCATTATTTCAAAAAACAACATTGTAAATGTAATATAGCAAAAACTATAATTTATGTTATCTCACATTTATTCTATCAGCAAGATATTGCCTACTTTTATTATATCCAGGCACTAGGCATTAAGCACGAAATAAGCCAGCTAAAAGCTTTGTCTGTAAAACGAATAAAAGAATTATTATTAACGAAACTGTTACTCGCTACAACTAAGAAACATAATAGTAATGAGAAGTAAATACGAAGAAACATAAAAATTATCAGTCTTAACTGCTGTGAGAGGTTTCCATATTCGAGGATCAGTTGTGAAATAGTTGGAGGTAGCACAGCTGAGAGGAGCCAGTACCAGAAGAAGGGGATGCTGAGAAACTAATTGGATCACAGGCGGATCTACGTGGGGGCGGCTTTCGGGCTGAAGCCCCCCCTCCCCCAAAATGGTAAAATCTAACCATGTTTTATAGAAAAAAATATTAAAAACTATCTCTTAAATTATTCTTGTTCATGTAATTACATTTAATAGGACTTCAAGAACCAGCTAAACACCATTCCATATAGGTAGTTAATTTCTTTCTTTTTTTTCCTAATTAATTATCGTTACATGTATATGAAAAAAAATCTTTCGGGCTGAAGCCCCCCCCAAATTAAATCTTGGATCCGCTAGTGAATTGGATCAAATGGGACCTTTGCGGGGTTAATGCGAAACGACGGTTATTATTATTATTCTCTCCTTTTTAGAAATTGTATTATGTTTTGCAAATGAATTCATTTTTACAGTTAATCATATTTCTGTGATTCGAATTATTATTTTTTTTTTTTTTTTGCAATAAAAACCATTTCCGCAATTTCATCCCTTTTGGAGCACAGTTCCACTAAACTCTCTCCCCTGAAGTATCTTCCATTCTTTTAACGATAGTGATCTCTGAACACTATTATAATTGTCCTTTGAGATAGATTGTAATATTTTTTAATAAAAAAAAAATAGTCTTCAGAAATTCATCAATTTCATAATTTTTTCCCATTCCATAATTTTTTTGAAACTATTCATTTTTTGCAATTTTAGTTATTTTTACAATTTATGCTATTTTCGCACTTATATTATAAGTGTTCTATACTCGACTAAAATAGATAGATAAAATAAGAGGAGCTTTATGAATTTTAGTTATTATTATTTTTATTATTTAAAATTTTATTATTTGGATGATTTTGCCATGATATCGAAAACAAAAATAATTTATATACCCAAAATCAACCTAGTGAAATCATTATTAAAAACCCAGTTGATGCCGCTGAATCTGTTTGGAGAAGCAAGTCTTAAAAATGTGAAGTACAGAGAGACAAATTGACAGCTGCAGATAAGAAACGTGTAAGGGACAAAATGAAAAAATAAAAAATAAGAATATTATATATTTTTGGAATTTAATACAATTTTAAATATTATGTTATTACAGTTATTATTTGAAGTTTGAAGGTTATTGCAATCCCAAAAGCTTAAAATATAGTGAATAGTATTAGAACTTTTGATGTGTTTAACATAGTTATGAAGAAAATTTAATATGAAAAACACTACAAGAGATAATGTTTTCATTTTAGGCTACATTAATAAAAATCTTATTTTAATTTATCGATTTTTTTGCTTCAAACTTAGCCAGAGATCATTTTAAAATATCAAATACTATGCTTTGATGTTTACTTTTTTACAATATGCAAATAACATTATTTTACTCAACTTTATGTAAATGATAGAATGTAGATGTTTTGTAAAAAGATTGAGTCTGAGAATTTACTGCTTTTTAGAAAGTGATGTTGAGATGAATAATCTTCTTTACAAATTAATGTTTGCTTTTCACATGCAAATATGAACTGCCATTAACAAGTTTTAATAATCAGAACGAAACTTCGATCCAGATCTATGCAAGGTTTAGAGTACAATGTTCCTCACATGTAATAAATACAGTATGCCTTCACTGTTTATGAACATTTTGTCTCAAATGTAAATGAGTTGTGATGTAATTTTAAATTGTTACAATCATCATTATGATCAAAATCTAAACAAATCAAACTAATAATCATTTAGTCATAATATTATTTTAATCCACTTATATTTAAATCTTTTAGTACTGTAAATAATTAAAAAATTTATTTAATTTATTCTGAAATTACATATCATTACAATTGACCTGCATGCATATTACTATTATATCTATACAAATTAACTTAATTAAAATTAATATATTTGATTGTGTTTTTAGAAAAAAAATAACTATAACTGAAAAATAATTATTAATTAATCTTATTTTTTTATATTTCATAGGCATTCATTCCGAAAAATGATAAGAACATAGAATGGCTAGCTGAAGAAGAGATTATAGATATCTTTTAATATTTTGTAAAATAAATCAATAATTTATAGAATTCACTAATATTTATTTGTTTTAATTATTCAAAAATTCCTTTTTAAAACGATGGATATAAAAACTTGGGACTTCATTGTAGATCAATTCCATATATATATGTGTATTTGTATAGTTTTAAATATCACAAAAGAAAGTTAGTTAAATCTAAAAGAGTTTTTAGATAACCTTCTAAATTTTTACATTGTGGCATTGATGGACACAAAGTGTTCTTTAAAACTTACCTAGCGAGTAAAGTAAAATAATAGTTTTTACCTCACAATATCATCTGATGGAACATTAGATACTTCATGCCGGAAAGAGTGAAAAAAATAAACTTTGTGGATTCCAAGCTATAGAAATTTGATGGAAGTTTAGGCTAATCGGCATATTCTCACAGATCGACAGAAAGAAAATCATGGTGTGTTATGCAGGAAGAAAGCATTTATATCAAAGCAATTGATGAACTTGATTTTTTCATTCCTTATTGGTTTATTATATTAAAAGAAATTTATAAAATCAGTGGTTTAGTGTTGGATGGTAAAGAAGATATCCGCCACAAAAGGAAAAATTAATAATGATCCAACTGTAAGGAAAAGGAGAGAGATAAAATTTTAGATTAAGAAATAATTGTTTAAGATAAATTACAACAATATTTTAATTCGACAAAGGTGAAACTACAGAGAGAATTTTTGATCAAACTATTTATAAGTGTTTTGGGAATAGTTTGAGTTCAAAAAACTGACCCAATGAATTCAAACACTATGAGCTCAAATAAACACAATGAATTGTGTTTATTAAATAAGCTAAAATGTTAGACCGATTTTTAGGTTCAATAGCTCGAATTACTCAGCTATAACTTGTGAATATACTGTAACACTGTAGGCTTAAAACACTGACAGATTATTGTATAAAATGTGTTTTATCTATCCATTAAAAGTTATGTAACGATTTTTTAAACAAATGGCTTGACCAATGATTTTAATTAAAGGCGATTTTGTGAATGTTTTGAAATAATTTGAGTTCAAAATATAGAAAAAAAAAAGATTAGATTTTAAACCGATATCATTACAACCCACTGTCAAAGGTTCAGTACATTAATAGAAAGTACTGTTTTTCGGTCAATGCTTTTGCAAAGAGGTGATTTGACCGACATGGCACCCAATCGCTTGATTTTCCCCTCTAGAGAGAAAAATACTTTATTTGAAACAGTGCTGCCCGACTAAATAGGGTTCCTCAATACACAACATACTCATCAATCCTTTTTTTTTTTAACATAGCACTTAATTATACTTAATCATATCTTTATATATATACAAATACTTTTTATAATACACAGCACAAACAATATCAATACTATAATATACTAATACACAGAATTACAATTATATAATATATGATGTACACATATTTCAGTGAAACCGATACAAGACAATTTCTGAAATTTATAGGGCAAAAAAAAATAAAAAATACACGGTATTCGAATGGCAAAGTTTTAAAATCAGAAAATTAGAACACACACACAGCAAGTAACATAGTCCTTTGAACATAGACAAAAAGATATGGTCACTTAAATAATTTTAAATTGAATAAATAAATAAATAACGATAATCAACCCCTAATTACCATATATGTGATGATGAATGATCCCAAGGGAGTCCAGAATAATACCCTCGGCCAACACTGCAAGCTCCCCGACTGCAACACCTAGTTGCACGAAGAAGCTCCTTGTTCTTTTATTAGGAATCATTCTGCGAGAGACGAACCTCCTCTCAAAGGCTTCTCACTGTGAACTCTCTCTCCCTCCAAAGGTCTCGTGGAATTTCTCTTTTAGGAAAGGGATGCATTTCTCGTAGATTTCCTTCTTTTCTCTTTCTATAGCTTTCTATTGCTATCATAGCGAACAGTTGGATCCAATACCAGTGCTGCCTTTCCGGTCCTGGAGATTGCAACTATATCCGCGTATCTTGTTGATCCATCACTATCAATACAATAGACCTCGCTGAAGCGTGTGAATTCCCTTTCCCTAAGGAGCCTCATCAATTCGAATTTTACCCTATGGTGCTGGCGTGTTATGAGGAGGGAGTTGTTGGGGGCATTTTCCCAGCACATGGGCTGGTGTTTCAGATTCTCTGCCGCATTTGGGACAGAGGGACCCAACTTCCTTCGACTGCCCACTTGCTCCTGGGACTCCAAGCAAGGGTTCATAGTTGATGTTAAGTTTCAAGGCGTTGGGCCATTCTGACCCCGAAAGTACTTGCTTCTGACATATATATTTATTAACTTTCGGAGTCTCTTTGAAATGCCTAACTTCAACGCCTTGTCACCTGCAACTGGCCCATTCTTCAAAACAATTCTCTCTCAGCGACTGTCTTAGAGCTCTCATGCTTCGGAGCCCTATGAAGCCGGTAGCCCTGATCAACATCCAGTCCCTCCGCACATTCGGCTATTTCGACGTTATAATCAAATATAGAGTGAAACAGGACATCCGGTACACTGGACAGTCGCCAGGCAATAGACCAATATTGCAAAGGAGCTTCCCATTGATCAGTACCAGCGGATCCTCGATACCTCCTTGGTGCATATAACATCGCCGATGATGTATTAGCGGAGAGCTCTATGATCGCCTTGATACTCCTGCGGATATTTATATCAATCTCCTCCAATAACGCAGGACGTATCTTTGTAAGGGGCGCTGTCTGGAGAGGGTAGGTAAGTTCCGGGAACACATATTGATTAACTACATTGCTCTTTTGCTCCGGTTTAAGAAGGCAAGAGCTCACCAATTTATCCAAGTCGTTAATTTTTTTTATCTTTTTCTCATTTATCGCTAGTTCTCCCGAGAACCTGCATCCTAAATATTTTATAGTATCATCTGCCTTTGATGTATGAATGACTTCTACGTTCCCAAGGGAGAGCTTTGTTTGTTGGAGCTCTCCGTTATCCATTATTAGGCTCACGCTTTTCTTCGGATAAATACCCTGACCAATCTCGGCGAGGATCCTCTGTACACAGTTAATTATCCTTTCTGCAGCACCCTTGTTGCGTGCTGAAACAGCCTGGTCATCGATCCGCGAAGCCTGCGAGAACCACACATTCTTAAGCGCTGGTATGCTTGTATCCATCATGCTTGAAAAATTCTTGCTCACACAGGTCGTGGTATAGACGGTCTATAGCCAGGTTGAATAGTGAAGGCGACGAGGGTCCGCCTTGGGGTACTCCTCGCCGCACGTTGATCCAGCTTGTCGCACGGGCTCCTGGTCCAATCTTAATTGAGTTGGTACCCAGCAAAGCCGCAATCACGTCTTTCAAGTCTGGTGAGACCCCTCTTGCCTCTAGTGAGCTAATGATATGGTCGTGACCAACGTTGTCAAAAGCGTCACAAAACATCTAGAAACACCACCTCGCAATCAATCTTTTTACATTTGGCATCCTTTATGATCGTGTCGATGATTCTTGCGCTGACATGTGTTCCCGGCAGGCCCCTGATGAAACCTCTCTGATTTTTGCTAAAGGTGATCTTGCTGGAGCTTAATATATAATTTAATTAAGAGTATCCACTATACCCCATCGGAGGATCTTCTGATCTCAGGTTCGATCGGCAGCTGATGTAGCAGAATTACCTACCACAGCCAGACTCAAACCTTGGACCTTCAGCATATGAACAAGGTACCCTATTCACTGAGCTACCCGGTCCCTTTTTATTACATTTGGAACTGACAACGACTCTTAAAGAGAATGACACAGATCTTAACTGATAAGAATCTGCTAAAGAGTTTGTTTATGTCTAGAGCGAGTGGAAATCCGAACGTTTTTATTTAATTAAAGTAGATATAATTAAGTTAGGAAGTCGAAAAATCATTCCGATTACTTAATACAAATCAGATGTTTAGCATTGAGTCAGGATTATGATTTTCGAACTAACACAAACCAATGAATTCCTTTGCCGTTCATTTCAGAGCATTAAACATAAATTTAAAGAATCTAAGTATATCGATATCTAAATGTTTCATCAGAAAACAATATATCGATATATTTTTCAAAACGATCATAACTTTATCATGAATGTAACCTTCTTTCTTATCACTACGACGGTTTGTTTGTAAACAGTGAACTTGTAAATCCCTTATTAAAGATTTGGGAACAAGGATTAGCCAACCTGCTTTTGATGTTTAAATTCGGCGTTTCTAATTAGGATGTATATTTTAATTTTTTTTATTCCTACATGTGTTATTTCTTAAATGCGCTTATCAACATTAAAACAACTTAATTGTGTTTCTCCGTGGTTTGTATTATTTATCATAGAAACAATTTATGTAGTTGATCTTTATCAAGTTTTGAAATTATTTTTTATTTTTTTTTAGTTGGGTAGAGTTATGGAAAATGTTATATGTACAGTTGTTCAGGAGAAGACAGCAGAGGAATTTATTTCAGTTCTGAATAAATATGGAGTGTGCATTGATTATAGCAATGATTATGAAAGATCTAAAGCTATTCAAGGAATCTTTGTGGTGATTACTCTTTGCTATAATTTAATCATATTATGTGTGTCAGTTATGATGTAAAGATCACTTGTAAACGAGCTTTTTCTTAACTTCTTACCAACTCAATATTAAGACTAGTGGATTTTTTTTGCTTTTTTAAAAACCACAGTTCAGGGTTTACTCCTAAATAAGTAATAGTAAATATGTTACTTTATCAAAAGTGTCACTCCGACATGGGAGCTGAGCGCATTATGAAAGTAGTCAAGTTTGTATATATGCTACAGAGTTGACTAATAACTAGACCTTTCTAAGAACTATGTTATTGAAGTCGTTTGACAATGAAAGAAAAAAAAACTTTTTTATCACCTCTATTTAATTTAGTGGGTGAAATTAAGCTATTGTCATCTAATAAAACACGAAGCTAATAATTTCGATTGCCAGTAGTAATCCCAATTTATGTTATATTGAATATAAGTGAACTTGGTTGTCAACACTAAGGTAATTTTGGAATGCCGTTTATAATGTGATCGTTGTGATCTTGCCCCAGCAGTAGAAGTGATATTTGCTAAGTTTTATCATGAATTCTTTCAGTAAAACTAATCTTCGAAATCTTTTAGTTCAGGTAAAATATAAAAAATATATTCCTATTACATATAAAAATTAAACAAGCATGTTTTAATTGCCTGTTTTTGGTAAGTCTATTTTACTCATTTATTTACAAACAAAAAGTATATTATTTTTATTTTTTCTGTGACTGTAATCTCTAACTAACTTCGCAAATATATTATTTATATTCAACTCTTTCCAATTTTTGTAATTTGTGCTGCACTGTTTTGTTTAATATAAAAATCTTGAAATGGATAAATTGCAAATAATAAATGTGCAATGATTGACTTATCTTTATCTTCGAACCTTATTGTTGGAAGTAAATTTGATAGGAAAGAATTTCTTTATTTATAAACATTGTAATTAAACATCATTGTCATTTATATGTTCATACTACCTATGACTTCTTTCTTTCTTATTTCTGGTAATAAAAATATCTCTGAATACATAAAATTAAAGAAGGCCATATTTTTTATTAATTTAAATTATTAAATAATTATTATTTTGATTAATTATAATTAATTTAAAAAATATATACATATCAGATATACCTGAAATTTATGTTTTTACGAATTCAAAGTTGGGAAAAAAAAGAAATATAAGAAATAAATAAGTAAATAACGATTTTTTTTTATGAGATCATGTTTAATTTTTTGGGTTAACCTATATGTATATTTAATATTGTGTAGTTGATGATTATTATTTTATAAATCATATAAGATAATGAGATCATATTTTGTCTTAATTTTTAATTTTTTTTTATATTATGCATTGATTACTATTTATCACAATTCAACTAAGGGTACTTGAATAGTCACAATATAAATTATGAAGTAGAAAGTGAGACATCGCCGTTGTTGTTTGACTGCATTAATATTGCTATTATAAACCAATTTTTACATTACATATTTTTTTAGGGTGTTATCAACAAAGTATACGATGTGATTTGGAAAGGAGAAGGAGGCCATTCCGAGCATGATACTCTTTTTATGTCTGTCAAGAGCTGTATGAATTTTATTTATTACTTTGTTATTATCACCATTACTATTCATTATTTTAATTTGTGAATATTTATTTTCAGTAATATCCAGTAGGAGGGAAAGTCAACCTTTTCGAGTTGGCTTTGTTGGAAAGATCGTTTCTCAACTTGTTGAAATCAATTTAAAGGAAGGTGATGCGATTGGCATATTAAAACCAAAATTTTTTTATGCATTGGATATTCCTACATTATGTGCTGGACTTGAAAATGTTGTAACATGGATAGCAAAAGATTTGAAGGTAAGCTGAATTTTTTATTAATTATATATTGTTTATAATTTTGGTTGATTTTCTGGTATACTGAGATATAAGGAAATTCTCTTTAGCTTTGCTCTTCTATTTATTTTTGTTTTATTTTTTTATTAATTTGCTCTCTTCTGAAGGATCGATCTCTCATGTTTATAAAATTTCTTATAAAATTAAGTTAAGAAAGTTTAAAAAAATCAGTGAAAGCCCTTGTTTATATAAAATCATGAAATTAAAATGATTATATTATTAAAAAATCAATATAAAATATTAATAATAATAATAATAATAATAAGGCTTAGCGAACCCGAAGGTTCGATGCCGACACCACCAATCGCTTGTTACACACCTCCCTCCACCGTTCGCCGTCCAAACCCAGTCCCTTCAGATCGGCTTTAATGCAATCCTCCCATCTTCGCTTCGGTCTACCCCTCGGACGCTTACCATTCGGCACAGCAAATATTAACCTTTTAGGAATTCTCTCGTTACTAAGCCCAACAACTTTACAAGCCCATTTGATTCTCTGCGATGAAATTACCTCAATTATATTACCCGGATACATCTCACGCAATTCGGCGTTGTGTAACCGTCTGAACTCTCCGGTTAACTCATCCTTTTTCGGTCCGAATATTCTACGCAATACTTTATTTTCAAAAACCTTAAGACGCTGCTCATCCCTTAATGTAAGCGGCCAAGTTTCGCATCCATAAAGAACTGTAGGTAAGATAATTGTTTTATAGATTCTAATTTTTAAGTTTCGGGACAAGAGGCGCGAACTAAGTAGTTTTGTCACAGAAAAATAACAAGCGTTCCCCGCCTTCAGTCTAACCTTAATCTCTTCTTCAATTTCGTTTTTTCTAGTTATCGTAGAACCTAGATACCTAAATTTATCTACCTGTTCAAACATATTACCATCTATATCGATATCACCAGTAGTATCGCCATTTTTGCAGCTAACCATATATTTTGTTTTATCCACGTTTATTTCGAGTCCTAGTTCTTTCCCGGCTTTCATTAACGTTGTCGTATTCAGTTTTATAGTTTCAACGTCTTCGCTTAACAGTACCAGATCATCAGCATAGCCCAGCACGGATGTTGTCCCGCCCAGATCCAACCCTTTCTCGGTTCGCATTACCTCCCTAATGGCATGTTCTAATGCCAAATTGAACAGGACAGGCGAAAGAGAATCCCCCTGTTTTAAGCCCGAACGAACCTCAAATTTTTCGGACAAATTATTACCGATTCTAACTTTATTGAGTGTCTCCGTCAAGCACATCCTGACTAGATTTACTAGTTTTTTTGGAATCCCCTGCTCGATTAGAATATTATACAATTTCTGGCGGTCAATAGAATCGTAAGCCTTTTTAAAATCTATATACAGCTGGTGAACAATACCGTTATACTCCAATTTTTTCTCTAATATTTGCCGTAAAGAAAATATTTGATCAATAGTCGAACGATTCCGTCTAAATCCGCATTGGTAGTCTCCGATAATTTCCTCGGCGTATTCCGTTATTCGACTGGTTAAGATTAAAGTGAATATTTTATAACATACCGGAAGGAGTGAAATTCCTCGATAGTTATTACAATCCGTCCTCGGACCCTTTTTGTGAATCGGAATAAGAATAGATTCTTTCCATTCTTCAGGTAATTTTTCGTTCACCCAGATCTTTTTAACCAACCGATGTATTTTAGAAACTCCAGCTTCCCCGCATGCCTTAATTAGTTCAGTAGGAATATTATCGATTCCCGCTGCTTTATATGATTTTAATTTTCCGATAGCTACTTCAACTTCCTCTTTAGTTGGTCCTTCTATTAACGGTTCAGCACTCTGGTACTCAGAAGGAGGACACAGATCATAATTTCCCGTATTTAAAATATTGTCAAAGTGGTCCTTAAACTTATTCAATATGTCAACCGGGTCGGTCAGAATATTGTTATTATCATCCCTAATTCCAGACGTTACGGGCCCTACATATTTACGTGATCTGTTTATACCTTTGTACATGTCTCTTACGTTATTTTCGATTCTATTAGTTTCTATTTCAATTATTTTATTTTTAAGATACTCCCTTTTTTTATTTTTGAGCAATTTTGTCGTTTCGTTCTTTGAGATTCGGAAGTATTCCAGATTGTCTTCGCTAGGATTATTTAGAGCTTTTAATTTAGCGGCTTTTCTTTTTTCACACATGTTTAAGCAATCTTCATCAAACCACGGTTTGTTATTCTTATTTTCCTTTTTTCCTACGACACGAGTTACCGACCGCTTTAATATTATCTCTGATCTCTATCCATAACTTGTCAATATCCTCGTGGTCCTCGTCAGGAAGCTCTAAAGCTTCAAACCTATTCTGAACATCTAGCTCGAATTGGTTTCTAATTGATGGATTTTTTAATTTTTCCAAATTAAAATTCTCAAAATCGAAACGGTTTTCTTTTCTCTTTTTTATATTAAGTTTTTGTCGAAGTTTCGCGATTACTAATTCATGATCCGACCCACATTCTGCTCTGCGATAAGACCGTACATTAATTATACTACTTTGCCAGCTGTGTTGTATCAAGACATGATCGATTTGATTTCGTGTTTGCGAATCCGGTGATGTCCAAGTATATTTATGAATATCCTTATGTTTAAACGTCGTACTTTTAATTATCAGGTTTTTCGAGATGGCAAAGTTTATCAGACGGATCCCATTATCATTACTATATTCGTGCAAACTTTCTTTACCAATCGTCGGAATATAAACTTCTTCCCTTCCTACCTTTGCGTTCGCGTCACCTACAATTATTTTCATGTAGTTTCGTGGTAGTTTATCATAAACCCATTCGAGTTTATCGTAAAATTCACTTTTGACTTCATCGTCACTGTCTTCGGTCGGACAATGTATGTTTATTAATGCGATTTTAAACCAACGTCCCTGAAATGTAGCTACCGAAATTCTATCACTAATGAATTGTACGTCCCTCAAAGCGGATAGTAATCTACGCCTAATTAGAAACCCGGTACCTAAACAATGATTCTCGCTTCCTCCGTACCAAATAGTGTACTTCCCTTCCCTCATCGAGCCCTCCCCTGGCCAGCGAATCTCTTGCAGAGCCACGACATCCAAATTGTACCCATTTACCTCATTCGCGACCGATTTTAGCCCCCCTGCTGTGTTTAAACTCCTTACGTTCCACGTACCAATATTTAAATCCCTATATTTCAACTTGCGCCATGAATCCCCTAAAGCAGTCCCCACCCGGAGACCCGAACGGGGGACTAGTTTACTTCCGGATAATGAGCGTTTTACCTTAGGAAGATCCATGACTTTTTGTGGTGTTTGGTGAACTAAAGATATGTGAGTAGGGCGTTCAATCCTACGTCACACCCTCCAGCAAGTCTGGTGGGCCCCTACCTCCAGCAAGTCTGGAGGTCCCCTCCCTCCAGCAAGTCTGGAGGGCCCCTCTCATTGTTGGTCAGCGAGTCCATCGCTAAAATCGTTAATATAAAATATTAACAAATATTAATTAATATTAATTAATTAACAAATATTAATTAATAATCTCTTTGTGTTGTTGTATGATAGAACTATTAAAAAATCAATATAAAATATTAATGATTGTATTTTACTAAAATTAAAATATCGGGTGGGTCCATCAGTTTTTGAATTTTGAAATCAAACAAGTTTTTTTCGTATAAAGAATAAATTTTACTCAATAACTCGTCGTTCCTATTAATGACCTCATGCCATCTTTCTAACAATGTCATTATTCTGCTGTCGTAAAACATCTGGGTTATATAGAAGTGAAAACTGATCGAGGTATGTTTTCACATATCTATCATCATCGAATGATTTAAAGTTGAGGGAGTTTTGGAGTTTTCCGGAATAAGTGATAGTCAAATGGTGCAAGATTCGGAGAATAGGTTCGGTGTAATAAAACATCCCATCCAAGTTACGTCAACTTTTGCTATGTGATTGTTGTTGCGGAGTGTAGTCTGACATCATGGTGGAATACAACATCTTTGTGATTGACTTGTTCTGTTGCAATGGTTGGTCCAATTACATTAGATGGGTGCAGTAGATCTTCGAATAAATTTTTTCTCCTTGTGGAAATAGCTCATAAAATAGCACGATAATCCCACCATATGGAGCGGGCCTTTGGGCTCGTTTGCCTTTTTTGAAATAAAAAACTAAATATATTAAAAATTTCTTTTATTATTTGATATATTCATTATGCTGTAGCATAAACAAAACTAATTCCAACGAAACCAAATACAAAAATTTCAAAGATCGGACTTATACCTTTCCAAAAAGTATCATTATTGTCAGATAAGGGAAAAGTGAACTGGAGATATTTGAAAACAATATCACACTATTAACAAAAACTGAACGAACTTATGGACCACCCAATAATACAGGCTTATGGTAGCTCTCTATCAATGTATATTTGGTATTATTAACTATTTAATCACATTTATAAGGTTTTCTTTTCATTTCAGAATAGTGAAGTGATTGAAGATGTAGCCAAATCATCTGATGAAAATGAATATTTTCAATCTCTCAAAAAACAGAACAATGGCAGTGATAATGTAAGAATAATCCATTATCTGAAATTATCTAGATAATCTCTTTGTGTTGTTGTATGATAGAACTATTAGACAAATACTTATTGATTTATGTTTTTTTTATAAATAGTAAAATATATATTGACAAACAACTCAAAGGAAAATCTTTAATCCGCATGCACCTAATATTTGTTAAATACTTAACGTTTCGTTATTTAAATAAAAACAAACTTATGAATTACTACATATGATTCAAATAATCCTATGATAATGTTAATGTGGAAGAAAATTCATTACGGTATATGTTAGTTATGTTTTCTTGATATTTCTCCGACTGGCCTATTCTCAGATATCCTTAAATCCAAAACTAATGACTATGGTCCTGACCAAACTCCTGTTAAAATTATCATTCTCTGTCGTTCAACCTTACTTGCAGTAATTTTACACATTTACAGTTACTCTCTCCAAAATTCCATTTTTTTCAAAGCCTGGAAAAGAGCCATCATCTGTCTGTTAAACAGTTTCCACTCCTTAATCAGCTTCCAATTTCAAAACTCCTTCGGTCTCTGGAAAAATTCACTGGAAAAATTAGACCACTCTCAGTTGAATAAATTCCTTGAGCAAAACTTTCTTAATCCTTTAAATCCAGTTTTTTATTCCAATATTCCACACAATCTGCCTTGTTAAAGGCTACCCAAGATCTACAATCCTCCATAGATAAATAGAAAATGACTATTCAAAAACTTTTGATTCTGTCACTTGCCCATATCGAATAGCATTCTAAAATGGTCCCTCTCCTTCTTATATCACCTCTTGAGACAGTTATCATTCCTAATAAATCTCCTTTATCTCTTCAATTAAGCGAGATGTTCCTCAAGGCTCCTCACTCTCTCCGATCCTTTTCTTTGTTTGCATTAGCTATCTTTCTGTTATTATATTTTAAATAAATTAACATTTTTCTTTTATTTTAAATATTTATTCTTGAATTCTTTAAAATGTTTATTGAAATAAAGTATAATTTTATTTATTTTAAATTTATAAATATATATTGTATGGATGATCAAAAATAAATCTGTTTCTAATTTTCTAATTACATATAAATATTTCTTGCTATGCTAATAAATTTATTTTCTATTTTACAGAAGAGAAAAAGAATACCTTTTCTTGATGAAGATTCTGAGACTCATTCCATTGGGAACAGCTCAACATCTGGCACTCTAGGTCATGATATACAAATGTTTAGAAGTCGGCCCGTTGAGTTAAAAAAACCTCCTGAAGTTTCTAAAAATAATAAATTAGTCCCGGACTCGACTACCAGAACACTTGTTCGTAAATACCAGAATAATCGGTGTATTGAAAAGGAGAACCCTCCTGAAAACATACTTGCTGAAAACTTAGTTTCACAAAATACAGCAAATGTTGGTAGTGCTGTAGATATTTCTTGTAGGAATGAAATTCAAAGTAACCTGATCTGTAATTTGGATTCAGCTGTCAAATCTGTGCATAATGATTTATGTCGTTCTTGCCATAATGTTGGAAACAACACATGTGGAATGCATTCTCACGCCACATCTTATAAGACAAAATGTTGCAGCTCCAGAGTTAATTTCTGTAATTGCCATACAATACCCGCTAATCATTTTAAAGAAAATTCTTGTTCTTGTAATTGCAGATCATCATGTGCTTGTTTCAACAATCAGCATTGCTCTTGCATCAGAAATAGTTGCTGTGGGCATAATGCCGTGCCTCAATGCATGCATTGGAATAGCTCTCATTCATGTCATACGGATAATAGTTCATGTAACAGGCATGTTGACCAACACTGCAGACCGATGAATTCATGTTGTAGGCCTTGTCATTCTCAAATAAATCAATGTTGTAGTCTACCCTGTCAAAATGGGTGCGTAAAGTCAAAATGTTTTCATAAGCAAACTAATTTGGATAAAGCTTGTGCATCATGCTGCAATAAGCCCATAGCTGCTCCGATTCATTATCATAATTCATGTTGCTGCAACCGTGAGAAAATAAAGACTTCTGCAAATATAAGAACCTCAAATTGCTGCGCTTCTAGAAACGAATCAAATTCAAAACATCCTAAACCAGATGATTCTAATGAAGAAATGAGTATAGAACTTAGTGAAGATTCCCATAAAATAAGTAGAACTAAAGAATGGATACACAATTTGGTGAAAGATCCACCACATCTTTTACCAGACATTGAGCATTCAGAAAATTTGGGTACTTCTACCCAAAATCCATCATTGGAATCAAGGGAAAGTATTTTGGAGGCTGGTGGAATTAGTAGTAAACAGGGACAGAGTCATTTGGTATCTTCTAACCCTATTGATTGTGTTACCAAACAAGTACCGCTGAAACATGTCGTTAAGAAAAAAAAACTTTTTTGTCCACTTGACATGTCTTCTGTAATATCAGCAAAATCAGTTTATTGTAATTCAACTATTATAGAAGAAAGTACTCCTTTTGATTCTGATAATCACACTGGTACTCCTCAAGACACTGGTTTGTCATCTGATAAAAATCAGGATAAAAATATTACCAAGAATATAAATTTATCTCAATCCAACAATATTGGTTTAGATGTCATTCTTACTGATCCTTCATCAGTTAACGAAGCAAATAATAGTAAAGAATGTGTTGGAGAGAAATTATACCCCGAAACAAATACACAAGAATCACTAATTACGAATCAACTTCAAAACAAAGAGACATATGGAGAAAACAGAAACTCATCTGAAGAACAGTTTCCAGAACTACGGATTGAGACACCTATAATTTCTCAAACATATGTTGAATCGCAAATTGAGGGAAATAGAAAGGATATATCAAACAAAATTAATCAAAATGAATCAGACATGGCTGACCATGATGGAGTTTCTTGTTTAAAAGATAATGTTAACTTTAATCAGCAATCTAAGGAACCAGCTGATAGAGAAGAAGTTAATTCCCACATTGGCGAGAGTAATAAAGAAAGTTCATTTAAAAAAGTATCTAATTTACATGAAATAGAATGCGATGGTAGAAATGATACAAGTAAAACTGAAAATTTTAAAGTGTCTGATTTACATGAAATTGATTGTGATGGTAAAAGTGGTACAAGTAAAAATGAAAATTTTAAATCTATTGAAAACAATGAAGTTATTATAGTTATAAATAATAAGAATAAAGATAATTCCTCTACGAAGAGCCTCGCTCTTCAAGATCATTCAAAATCCAAAGACTTAAGTAAAAGTAAAGAAATTGACTCAAGAATGGATTTTACTCTTGTTTGTGATAAGACGATCAATAAAGAAGGAATGAAGAGATCAAAAGAAAGTTCAGACGACACAATGGAATTGACATGTGAATCAGTCCTAGTGAAAAGAAAAAAGAAAGAAAAGTTTAGAAAAACAAGAAGTGTTGGGTCGTTGAGCTCAGGAAGAAATTTTAATAATGCATCTGTTTGCAGTACTGACTCATTTTATGATGCTCGTTCTGACGGTATCCTTTCTCTAAGGTCTAATAAGTGGTGTTTAAAGCCAATTAAGGAAGTCTGTGAAAAACCCAATTTTCAACTCAATTGGAAGGTAATATGTTCTTTTTGAAATACTGATAGCTTGATTTCTAATTTTTTTTTCTCTAAAGTTACTTTTAATTTATTTTTACAGGATGTAAAGAATTAATTTCTTATCATTAACATGATAGAGAGACTATTTTTTGTTCGTTTCTTCGTAATAATTATAGTTGGAAGTCAAACATTTTCCCAATTGAAATAGAAAAATGATATATGGAAAATGAACTTTAATAAAGCAATATATTCCTTTTCATGCTTTTGATTGTTTTATTTATATTTTATAGTATGTTAATGGATTTTCAAAACTTAAAAAAATTGTTTATGAATGCATCAAATTGGGGGGTTTTATCCATAGCCTAAGTTAATATTAATCAAAGAGCTTCACTTGATATGAACAAAAATATATTATAATTATCAAATTTTTCCCTTGAAGAAAATGGGTCATGGACCTAAATAAGTAATAATGCGATGGTGGGAGGTCTGGACTATATGTTGGATGAGGCAGGAGTGTTTCAGACAAGAGGTTTTCAATAAATTTTCACAAATTTCTAACCTTTTAGCTAATTGCTGAGGAGTGAGTTCGTGAGGTACCAGTCTACTGCTCTTTTTCACCTTCCCCATTGAGAGTAGATGGTGACTAACAGTATCTTTTGACACACCACACTCCCTGGCAAGTTTGCGAGTACTTGTAGACGAATTTGACTCAACAGCTTCCTTCAGAACCTCATCAATATTCAGTAATTGTCGCCTGGTTCCCTTCTTCCTTTCCAATGTCGTATCTCCACTGCTAAATTTTACAAACCAACGCCGCACAGTGCTCTGGTCAAGGACACCTTCCGCTCCATATTTAATAATTTAACGAGTTGCTTCAGCAGCTGTGAAATTTTTTTAAACTGAGGCTTTTTTTTGAAGATCGAGTGGGATTAAACAAGCTTAGAGAATGCTCTAAGCAAATGTAAATATTAAATTGGATTAAAATATTTACATTCCTTTGAAACCTTGAATTTCATAAAACGTTCATTTTTTTTTATACACCCTATTAGTTTGTTCTGCATAAGTCCATATTTTTTCGGATTATCTCTGATCTATTTTTGTACTACAAATTTCACAAAATATATTTTTAAAACATAATGTAATACAATCTAAACAGAAAAAAAATTTGTTTTTCTCTCAAAGATTACACTTATTTCATGGTTAGTATTTTCATTTTTTATAGAATTTAATTGCCAGTAATTGAAACGATATTATAGATACTGTCAATACTTCTTTGATTGTTAATATGTTTGTCAACAGTTATTATTTTCATCCTTTGTTATTAAGCAAAAATTAATTAAAAAATAAATTGTTTGTTCAGAAATCAAAATTATACATTCATGAGAAACTAACCAGAAGTGGTTTCAGAGTATGTAAAATAAATTGGATAATTAAAGAATAAAATTTCTATTTAAAAAATAGTACCATATATTATATTCGAGAGGAGTAAATCTACTGGCTTAACTTTTTCATATCAAGACATTTATACTTTTCCAAATTATAATTTAGAATCTAACGAATTTCCAATTTTTTTTTTACTTTCACCTGCCTATATATGTAATATATAGTAAGAGAAAGTATTGTGATCATGAAAATTTTCGAATCTGAGTTTTCAAAGAAAATACGCATTTTGAGGTACTGTGAATCCAAATAACCAAGTCCTGCAAAATGGTCTGTGTGTGTGTGTATGTTAGCAGTCTAGCTCAAAAACGAAATGCTGTATGAAGCTGATATTACATATTTAAGATAGGTATATACCTTAGATGTGACAGGAACATTTTCCTTAACATCGCCTGACAGGAAGTGCCACTTTATATCAACGCTGAAACACATTTTTACAATTTTCTCAAAAACGGCTCCAATTTTTATTAAACTCGGTGTATCATGGTATATTTAAATGATCTTTAATATCAATCAGGTGTTTTCTCTATTGATATCACTTTACAGAGCTTAAATGCCCAATGTTCATACGTCTTCCTCTAAAGTACCTTTAATATGGTTTATTTTAAATAATTAATCATCTCACATTATTAAGAGTTACGAAAAAATGCTAAATATAACTTTTGAAAGAATTTGGTAATTGAATAAAGGAGAAAAAAATAAAAATGCTTATCCAGGTCGAAAAGAAATCTCCAGAAATACTATTCAGAAGGTGTACATGTAATATATCGTTGGAAAGCGGAGAATTTTAGAAAAAACAATATCTAATATAGCAAGTTGTAGAAGATAACAGAGAGTGGCGATAATAAATAATAATTTTTGAAAACTAATATTATTTAACGTTAATCACATGTTTTCAATGAATTTAATGAAATTTACTAACTAAATGAAACTTTTAAAATATTTTTAAGTTTAAAAAAAAATATTTAAAATCCACCTAATCAAGGCAATGTCTTTGTTTAAAAAACTGTATCATTGTATTTGTGTGAAAGAAGAAGAAAAATATCAAATCATTTCATGGATGTATATAGCATATGTTTATAACCTTAAATATATTTACTGTAGTTTAATAATTCTGGATCTGATATGTTTTAATAATTAGGTATCAACATCCGTTTATTCCGAAAAATCGTCATGTAACTTTTTTGAAAATTAAATTAGCGAATAATTTGATGAATTTTCACTTTGTGAAATCCCAAAATTATCCTTCCTCTAAAGTACCATTTATTTAGTTTATTAAAGCTAGAAATTTAAGTACATTTTGCTATTTACAAATTTTTAAACTATTAATTCTGCTATGCTAGTAAAAGGTCAGTTTATGAAATGTGCTTAATGATGCATATACAATTAATTACAAGTTTAAATATTTCTTTTTTTTTAAATACTAAGTTTCCATTACTCTCAAATATTCTGTTTAAATATTTTCTGTTATTTATTTTATTATAGAATTTCTGAAATCAGTATCTCAGTGTTATCAGTTTTATTTAGGACGATTATAAACTTCTCAATTTGGTTTAATTCATTTTATTTATTTATTTTTGTATTTTATAATGCCTCTTGACTTATTTTGACCTCTGTCATTAGTCATCTGGCAGCTAAGGTGCTGTTCTAGGCGACAGCTGAGATCGTTTGGTTCTGTTATACTCGTATAGATATCCAGGGAGCACGTGGTTTATAATAACCGGACACGATCCTCTTTATTACAATGGTTTTTGTAAATGTTCTGATGGATTGCCTTGAGCTACATACCTTGCACTACTTATTATCCTTTCCTTCATATGGGATATAGACTGACCGCTTTCTTTTACCAGTTCTTTATTGTCCCTGCAAGGAAAATAATAATAATAATAAAGAAACAACCATTCACCTCTTAAAATAACTTTTAGTAGTAACAGGCAATATTATGCTGTATATCCTTGGTATGCTAAAAAATTCCAGTGCTTGTCTTCCAGTCTTATTAGGTCTTCCATCAACTTTTAAATATTTTATTACTTTCATTAATTTTTTTGTTTCTATGTATCACTTATTTTTGTTTGTTTGTTTTGATGTCTAGGCGCAAAACATACAGGTCATCAGCGCCCAATCAACTAAATAACACTACTTTTATACTGTTTGGATTGTTGGTACAAAAAATAAAAATAAAAAAAAGGATACAAATAAATAAATAAAAGGATTAATTGAATAAAATAAATAAATAAAGATAATAATAGACACTTATACATAATAAGATAGAATAGATAAATTAATAAACAAATGAACTTTTAAAATAAATAAATAAATTAAACAAATAATAATAATAAGTCTGCGAAGGATTATTAGTTATAAACTTGTCATATATGTTTTTTAAGTCTTTCATTGTCTAGGAACTTCATAACTTTGGTAACGATTTCTTCTTGATTTCCCAGGGATGCTGATGTATTCTGGGGTATTCCTAGATCTTTTAACCTTGCGGTGTAAAAAGGGCACTTTTCTAAAACATGTTTTATGGTTGATGATTGGTCACACTTTTGACATCTGGGGATAAGATCTTTTGTTATGAGGTGTAGGTGTGTCAGTCTAGTATGTCCGATCCTCAGCCGCGTGAGTCCGACCTCTTCTCTGCGACTGCTGCGTTTGGAGCTGCTCCATGATTGCACTTCTTTCTTTACTGTCTTTAATTTGCTAGGTGCGCTGTTGTCCCACCGTCTTTGCCATTCTTGGGATATAGTTTCTCTTGGAGGTGTTACAAGTTCAGATGGTGTCAAAAAAGCTTTACCGCGGCTTGGAAGGGTTAGAGCTTCTTTTGCTGCTCTATCAGCCATTTCTTTTCCTTTAACGCCTATATGGCTAGGCGACCAGATAAAATATGCCGTTGTTCCAACTCCATGAAGTATTTTTATAAGATTTAGAATGCAGTGTATCCCTGGATGGTCTGGATACATGTTATTCATGGCTTTCAGGGTACTGAGGGAATCTGATACCACAAACACTAGGTAGTATCAGGGGTGACAAAGGCTGATGCAGTAGATGTATCTCATTTAGATCCGTCAGTGAATATTAGGAGATGTTCAGGTAATGTGATGATTATTTCGTGGAATTTTTCTTTATAATCTGCAGGTAATGGACTATCTTTGGTGAATTTGGCAAGTTGGAGATTTAATTTTGGTTGGATATAGGTCCAAGGGGGTATTTCTTTTTCTATTTAATTTAATCTTATTTGTTTTAATTTATTTATAATAAGATACATTCTTTCTGCCAATGGTAATGTGGTATTCCTCTTTTCTTTAAATATTTTTGAAAATTTAAGTTGAAAGGCATATTGAAAAATTTATTCAATATATTTTACATATATTTATAACTTATTTTTGTTTTTAGGAAATGGAGGGATTGTCATTCCAGAGTGGTAAGTAATTAACTTTGTTGTAAATTATTAATAAATTATGAACAATTTTACATTTGTGCAAAATAAGTAATATTATGAATGTTGTATTTTGCCTTAAAAGTTTTGAAGTATAGTTAAATTCCAATACCAATTTTTACATTTTTACTTTCACACACCTATATATGAAATATATAGTAAAGGAAAGTATTGCAATCGTGAACATTTTTGAATCTCAGTTTTCAATGGAAATACACGTTTTGAGGTCCTCTGAGTCCAAATAACCAAGTTCTGCAAAATGGTGTGTGTGTGAACAGTCTAGCTTAAAAATGAAAAGTCGTACAGAAGTTAAGGTTTTTATATGCATGTGATGTTACAGCTACTTTTTCGATAAAATTGGCTAACCAGAAGTGCCTCTTTATAGGGAATAAAGTATTAATTTTTATGTAAAAATAAAATAATCAATTAATCTCTCCCTCCTCACACATTAATCTGAAATGTACTCAAGTAAATATCAGTGGAATCTTATAAATTTAACATTTTGTATAGCAATATAAGAAAATCATACTACCATATTGTCTAATGGCTAATGAAGAAGATATCTGCTGATATTTATACAACACCTAGAATAAAATACTGTTACTTGTTATTTTTTTAATGTCACAAAACAGTATAGAATTTTTTAGATGATACAAATTATAATTTCTTATTTAATTTTTTCTGTTTTTAGGTTTCTCTTACGATCTAAATTTATTTTCAACATTCATTGTCAAAGGAGCTATTATCAACATATTACCGAGTTTGTCAGAAGGTAATATTTTGTTTGTTTTTGTTAATGAAATAAATTACTAAATGGGTAATCTGAGATATTATTATTATTAATTCCCCTAAAATCTCATGGGTGGGACATAGGGTCGTCACGAAATTCTGCCAGGCATCCGATCTCTTGATTATTTTAAAACCAGAGCTCAACATTAGAGATTGTTTCAGGCTACTTGCAATATATTCTTCTGACATCTGTTAATAGATTTCTGTATCTTCTTGGTCACTTGCTTGGTGACTTTCCAAGTCTCGCAAGCATATAGCAGAACTGACAACATTTGTTTTGAAGATGCAAAATTTGGTCCTCCTCCTGATTTCTAGTGATTTCCACACTGCTTAGAGCAGTGAGAATACTTACTGTTTCTACCAGATTTGTTTAATTTTACTTACCATAAATTTCACAACTTTTATACTTGTCTACAAACAGATAGAGAAAATAATCTCCCAAGTCAAGAAAAAACAGTGTCAACCGACAAGATAAAAGTTAGTTTTTTTGAAGAAACATAGTATGTGATTTTCAGGTCTGCTCTAAACTGAAAATTATAATGTGTAAAATTTAATAGCAAATTAAAGATTTTTACACTAAAATATGCCTTTAGAATATGATCAATAAATACTTATTCTGTAAAAATATTTATTGATGTTTTTTTAAAATAATCCATTCAATATTGGGACAGACGGAAATTGTCTCCATTTGTTTATTTATTCTGAAATGTTTTTATATTAATAATCATGAAGAATGCTGCACTGAAAAATTATAAGGCTTAGATTCAGTTAGATGACTTAGCTGTGGTTAGTATCCTGAATGGACTGGTCAGTTATTAATTACAGTTTGAGGGACTTAGGATTTGGTTTGTAATATTTTGTTAATAATCTTGTTATAACTTGTTTATCTTTTTTTTTAGTCTTTATCCTCTAAACATTAAAATTCAATTTAATTGTTTAAATATTTTTTTAGAGAACTTTGGTAATTTGGTGGAAGGGTTTTGTAATGAAGGATGTAGAACAAAATACAAGTATGAAGACTTCAAAGAGATGGAACCTTTAAGTGTCTTATGTACTTTCTGTAGATATAATTATCATTTAGCCTGTCCTGGATGTTCCAAATCAGGTAACTATTTATTCAGAAAATTGTCTTTGAAATTTATTGAAAAATACTTTTAGTTTTTAATTATTAATTAATCTCTTTTTCCAATTTATATTATCATTTCCACATAACAATGAAACCTTTAGATTTTCATTTCCTCTAGTAACAATCTTCAACATGCCACTGTCTTTTTATAACACAATCCTATTGAAATTCTTAGCATTTAAACATTGAATATTTCTTCTTTATTTTTTAAATAATTCAGTCTAAGTTTCCTTTTTGGCACACTATTCTCAACTTCAGAACTATTGATATTCCTGTAAACATATAAGCCAAAAAAATTTGAAGTTTTACCTGGTATGTAAATATGAAACTGGAATTTTTGTACAGAAAATAAATGTTAATTATTTATAATGGTTTTTATTGAAGGCTATACATTTTTCCCACCTCTCTGTCAATTTATAAATGCCATACCAGAAAAACTGTTGCTCTTTAGTGGAGAATCAACTTTCAAGCCATTTCCTTACATTCTCATTGGAGGTGAAGCACTGCTGACCAAATGTGTACCTCGTCTTAGCAAATAAATAATCATCATCATCATCATCAATCGGCTCTATAACCCATCACTGGATCTTGGCCTCCTCCTATCCTCCAGCTTTGAACACAGAACAGGGTTCTCGAATCTTCGTTTACACCATCAGCCCATCGTAATTAGGGGCAGTGAATAAAATATCTTACTCTTTTTCCATGTAATTCTTTATCGAGGAGTTTCCTAGAAATTTCTCGTGTATCCATCCTGACCACATGACCTGCCCATCGAAGCCTGCCAAGCTTTGTCATACCAACATATGTTTCCTTTAATAAGGAGTACAGTTAGTTGTTTGTTCGCCTTCTCCATGTTGTGTTCTCTCTTAGTGGACCATAAATACGTCACAAGATCTTTCTTTCGAATATAGAAAGGTTTCACTCTTCACTTTTAAAAAAGCCCATGTTTCCGATCCGTATGTAAGAACAGGCCTGATGAATGTCTTGTACAGTCTTATTTTGGTAGTTCTGGAAATTAAACTGCTTCCAAACTGTCGGTGAAGTCCAAAATAGCATCTATTAGTAGATCTTATTCTTCTTCTTATTTCAGCCAAAATATCATTATTTTCGTTTACTTGGGAGCCCAGATATATAAATTCATTTACACGTTCAAACGTGTAGGATCCAAATTGTACTGTAAGTTCCTCAGGAGGCTTCATTTTGTTAATTATGTATTTAGTCTTCTGAGAGTTCACGACAAGATCCATTATTTGACAGATGACTCAAGAACAAGGAAGGCCTCTTTTACAACCGTTCTCGATCTTCTAATGATGTCTAAATCATCTGCGTAGCCAAGGATTTGAATTGCACGATTGAAGATGGTTCCTCTTGTCTGAATTCCTGTCTCTCTGATCACTTTTTCCTAACATAATTTAAACAATAGGCATGCAAGGGGACCCCCTTCAGAACAAGGAGACCTCCTTGTCCTTGTTTTTGATATTCTGGTTGTTTTTCATGAAATACTCTATTCAAATCAATCATTTATTGTTGATTGTGTTCAGTATTAACAGTTTCTGCAGGTTTTAGGAGCTCGTAATAGATCACACATGCCTTCCACCTTCTTCATATCTAATGTTAAAATTACTACTTTTGCGTTTTTTAAATCACTATGCTTTATGAAGAGCATTCTCATTGTTGTAAACTTTGACTAGCATTTGATGGGATTCTGCAGCATTTTTTTTTTAATGTTATCTGAAAACTAATGCTGTCAACAGATCATAGTTTGTAGATATGAAACTCGAAATGTTCAACACTGTTAAAATTATGTTATATAAAATTTTTGTTGTTTATTGAGTTAAAAATCTTTATCAGCTTAACAGTTGGAAACAAATTTATGCCAATAATGCTGTTTATTGGTACAGGCATTAACAACTATGGATGAATTTCGATTTCATGTTTGCACATCTGATAAAATATCTGCTTCTTATAATATCATTAAATTATTGTTGCTAAAATCTGACAGAGGACTTATATTTAAAAAATAAGGAAGACATCTTAGTAACTGTCACTCGACTGTAAAAAATCTCACTCACATTGACCAATAACTTTTCGAGTTGTAGTTGCCAGTTGATAACTGTTTTTTTTTACAATTCCTAAGATTCTGTGATTCCATTCCTCAAATTTTCCAACAGTTTTCAATCACTATCATTATTTGGCATATAGTGAACTATCACCTTAGGGCAGAGATGAAAATGAGGAGACTTTTTCAGAAGATTCATCGTCAGCTTTCCCAGGTTCTCATATTTCTTATTGGTGTACCAAGTTTATTGATGCGTCTTTCCTTTTCCACTATTTTCTTCTTTTTTTTTTTTTGAGAATCAATAAAACGCTGTAAATCCTAGACTTCTCACTCTATATCCCTCTATTACCACCCTAAATACATGATCTCAACTTGCTGATGTATAAATCATGTGTTATTTGTGCTACTTCTTTATGAAATTATTGACCCATTTTGATTTGTCGATCCTTCTCTTTATATTGCTTTTAACATTTATTATTCCAAGTACTATGAGATAATTGACTAGTGTGCTTTTGTAAATATTATCTCGTAAATATCTGAACATTGTAATTATCCTTAGGGTATTTTAATCCCAGAATAAAATTATTTTGTATTCATTCATAGATGACATTAACTCTTGATCATTGCCTTATTCAAAGTTTAGACAAATATTCTGTGGCAGCTATTTTAAAATTTATCTTTCTAATTAATACATTTTTTCTTTCTTTCAGGATCAGAACGTCCTCTTTGCCTGTATTACAATTTTGAAATTCATCTATTTGATGGGGAAAATGTATTAAGGGTAGAAATTGATCATAAGAGTGGAGTTGATTTTCTAGGTAACAGTTTTCTATTCCTTGTTCAGCTTTGTATGTTAATTTAGATTTTTAATTAAATATAAAATGAACTATCAGCCAAAAACTCCCAACTTTGGCACACAAAGTTTTTATAGCATCTGTATGGTGTACAGTTTCATGTTGTTTGAAAAAAATCATTCTTAAATTATGAAATTTTTCACGCAATCGGGTCCTCCTATTCAATGGACCCACAATTTTGGGCTGACAGACTACTAAAAGTGAATCTTGAGGATGATGATTGTTTATGATTTAAATTTTTCCTGAAATAAGTCAGAAAATTTCGACCCGGCTCTTGGACTATCTGAGCCTATCGATAAGCAATCAACTGCAATTACTACCGAAAGGCATTTCATGTTTGGGCAACAAAAGTTGTTTAAAATTTTTCTAGTAGTGGAGATATTGAAGAATTATTTTTGTTTAAACTTTCCGAGTTCAACTTAATGAATATTCAAATGTTTATTAGACTTTTTCCATACAAAAAATTAAATTAACATTCTTGGAATTAAATATTTACAATACATCTATTTCAAGTATTTTTTATTAAATATTAGTAAATAATTATTACTTAAATAAAATAATTATTTATAAATAAAATTTATAGGTTAAAAATCAAAATTTGTAAATGATAAATTAATTAGAAAAACAATTCACTAATAATGCTGAGGTAATTAATTATGAGCAACATTTTTTAAAAATTATCAGCCAAACTGAAAGGAAAGGGAGGGTTAATCCAGGATGTGGGAGGGTGGTCTGAAAAGTTTCCGACCGCAACGTGAAGATTTCAGCACTTGTAAATAAAAGCATATGAATTTTGTTCTTCATCTGTTGACAGTTACCCACCAAAGTTTCAGCCATTTTGGACACACAGTTTTTATGTAAGAGTCGTTTGAGTGAGTTGATGTGTGTTTTTGTGAAAATGGACAAAATTGAGTATCAAGCTGTCATTAAATATTTGTTTTTGAAAGGCAATACGCCTAAACAAATCAAAGATGAGTTGGATTCTGTGTATGGGGACTCTGTACCGTCATTTACCACAGTGAAATTTTGGGCTACTGAATTTCACTGTGGTAAAGCCTTAAGAGCTTGGGAGATGAACATTCGGGATGTCCAAAAACTGCAACTATCGACGAAAACGACGACCGTCGAATTAAAGTGAGAGATATAGCAGAGGTTAATAACATGTCAAAAGAATGTGTTGGTGACTGTTTTTGGGACAGTCATGGAGTTATTTTAATCGACTATCTTCAAAAAGGCAAAACCACTACAGGAGCATACTACACATCATTACTTGACAAGCTGAAGGCAGAACTTGAGAAACGGACATATTTGCAGAAAAAGAAAATCCTGTTTCACCAAGACAATGCACCACCTCACACCTCAGTGGTTGCCATGGTGAAAATCAACAAATTACAGTTTGAACTGTTTGACCATCCGCCTTACTCACCTGGTCAAGCCCCAAGCAACGTCTCTTTGTTCCCTTATCTAAAAATTGCACTCGGAGGACATAGATTTTCATCAAATGAAGAGGCAATCATCTTCATGAACAACTTTTTTGCAGAGAAAAATGCTGAGTACTTTTTGGGCGGGTTACAGAGATGGGAGCATCGCTGGGAGAAGTGTGTAGAGTTACAAAATGACTATGATGAAAAACAAAAAAAAAAAATCAGAAAAAATGTCTTGTATTTTTGTCAGGTCGGAAAGAAACGTTTTAGATCAGCGTCGTATAAGCCTCTTTTCCTCCTAAGACTTAATAGTAAGATGATCATTACATCGAAGCTTTCTGATCTTCAAAACTTGCCAAGTGCTGTGTTATTCATAAAGCTGCACAGCTGGAGTTATAAAAAGTTATAAAACTAGCAACAAATATTATGTTATGCTGAAACTACAATTTCTTTTTTTTTTTCTTTTGTTACAGGTTGTACTCCACATCATTATTTAAAATCTGGCACTATGTATAAGAAAATTAATAAAATAATTTTTTCTATCACGCAAGATAAGTGGGTAACTCCTGTTATATTAAACGCTAAGATAGAAGTAAAGCCGAAATCAGGCGCATCAATTCTGACACTTGAAGGCACCTCTTTAAGGAAAGACCTTACGTTCAAAGGAAAACATTATAAATTATAAATAAAGCAATGAGCTGTCCATTTAGAAGTAATTACAGTACTTAACCCTGGTTATACAGTTCTATGATGAATTAATTTAACGATTCAAAAAAATACTTATAAGTTTTTTTTTTTCATATTGATTCGGAAGGTTTTCTAACAACACCTTCACACACACTCATTCTGTGTAATTGGGCTTGTTGACTTTGATATGGAACAAATTATTATCCCTCCATTTATCCCAGAATGAATGTTTCAAATAAATTCTTAGATAGAGTAAACTTTGTTGGTTCAGTCCATTCATTGGCTAATGACTTTAAACATTATTCTTGTTTAGTTTGTAAACTAGGAAAAAGTTTCATTGTGTTATATCAAGAACCATATGCACTTATAATTTTAATTCAAGGTTATTCGTAAACGTTTGTTCAATTTTTTTTTTTGTTATACTGTACTTTATATTGTCTGTTTTATTTATAAATATGAACATAAATCTAATAAATATGGTAAAGAGTATTGAAAAATTTTCTTGGGAGTCATTCAGCTTTGGAGCAGTCGATTAGCAGCCAAAAGAAATTATAGTAGTCTTGGTAGTTATTATGGACAAAGCATATTTACGAGTGATTGAGCTGTTTACAGATTTTGTGCCAATTCTATATGATTAACGCGTTAGCTGTGGTTACGGTCACCGGCGTCTGATAGATTTATTTCAGATGTAATGATTATTTATGTTTGTATTTATCTTTACATCTATCCAACTCCAATCTTTTGTATTCTGGTGCTTTTATGTGATTTATTGAATATTTTAAATTTTCTTTTGAGATTTCTGAGTTATAATTTTCAGTTGTTATAAATTAAAATTTTTATATAAATTTAATTTTTGACGCAATGTATTTCCTTAATGAATTTATTTTATTGGCAAAAAAACAAATACATTGAAATGTTAATGTTTCGATGAAATATTTTATTTGATATCTTATTTTGTATGAACAAAAATGATCTAATATTTATTTGTTAGTTCAAATGTTTACATTATTTATTTCATAATATTAAAATAAGTTTTAATGTTTTTTTGTTATCAAATTTTTTGAAATCTCTTATTGTTTTTTATTGCCCTAACATTTTCTTTATTATTATCTATATTTATATTATTTTTGAAAATTCAAAAATTCATTTATGTGGTGATTATGAAACAATGAATATCTTTCTAAACATTCTTAGATCTTCTGACTGTTGGTTTTAGAAATAGAGTACATCATATTTTTCTCAAAAGAGATGAGATATTGTATTTCTCAAAGAAACTTATTCATGAAAAGAAAAGTTTTCCCCTTCAATTTGAAACAGTTACATGTTTATTATTGAATGATTGTTTTATATTAATCTATCCGATACTACCTCAAATAAATTAAAATGACAATGGGTTATGTGCGTGATCACTGGCCTCACACTTGTGCCTATGATACCAGAAGTAGATAACCTTCTGTAATCATTTAAGAGAACCTCTACTGATATCAGAATTAGATATATATATATATATATATATATATATATATATATATATATATATATATATATATATATATATATATATATATATATATTCCATATTATTTTCTTGTATGGTTATTATTCAAACAGAAGAGTCATTTTAACTGCCAGTTAGTTTTGATCGGTGTTGTACTGTTCCAGCTTGTATATTTTTAAGTTTAATGTTTTATTATAAATTTTATTTTTATTTATCTTTTTATTTTATTTTTATATATCTTATTATTTATTTAGTATTATTTTGTTATTATCTAAGTTAGAAATTATTGATAAGCTCGGGAAGTGAGCCGTTTATATAATCTATGTTCTATCATATCTGACTTAGCTAAATTGTGTACATAGTATAAAAACAAAATATGTAACATACAAAAATGATAAAATGTTACTTGTAAGTATCCATTGAAGGTTGTATATTTTTAATGTAGTATTGTAAATAAATAATATTTTATTTTTATAATTGTAAATATTGGAAGTTTCATATCATAATATAAGTAACATAATCTTTGTACCTTACACAATCAAGTTTCAGAAGATTGTTTACACCTTATCATCAAGTGCAACCTGCTTTTTAATTATAATTTTCAATAATTTATATTATTTCATCATTAAACAACCTTTTGAGAATATTTGTACCTCAACAATAACGTGTCTGATTTTTTCTGTTACTTTTCAAATGAATTTATATATGCTTAATTGATTGTTAAGGACGGGATGACCGAGCAGATTGTGGCTTGAATTGCAGAGTGCCTGGTTCTGAACGTCGAGTTGTGAATGTTGTTTATAAACGTCTTCATTTTGATGGCTTTGTAGTGAAATGTAAATACCATGTTTGTAAAAAAGCTTTGAAAATGAAAGATTTTATGTTTTGTGAAACAAGTATACTTTTTTTTGCATGAAAATGTAAATTAAGTTAATTCCATTTGGTTTCTAAATGTTTTTAGAATAATGTATTTTTTTCCTTTTGTCACAATTTTTCAATTATTACTTTCTCCACCAGTGTCAAAAAATAAATTCACAAACAGAAGAAGTATGAAATGAAGTTATGGAGAAAATAAAACTTTATTTAATTATAACTCAAAAAGTGTACAGTCTATGGTTAATTATACAGATTTTTTTATTATTTTCTATTTTCTTTTCTTCCCTACCCTGCCGTCAATATGGGAGTATACAGCTGACTCGATATGCATTCCTGCATAACAAATCACTGCTGCAAGTTTTTCTTTTTACATTGTAATAAATTGATTTGATTTATACAGTAGCTCAGTAACCTTGTCTTAAAAAGGGTTGCAATCAGTAAGTTGCATTGAATGAGGGCAGAAGGTTTTTTTTTTCTTGTATGGGATGTGACTGACATGCAAAATACAAATTTTTGACATCGGTACCCCTCCAAATCACTTTTGAAAATCCTCAAAACTGCTTTATTTCCACACTTTCTTTCTATTTTCACCATGAAGAACATGTTTACGACAAAAAACTTTCAGTACATTTTAAAAATATATTAAACATACTTCAATTTAAGATAAAAACAGGTTCGGTAAGCTCAATAAGTTTTGAGATACAGATTTTCAAAGTTATGAAAATTTGTCAAACTTGAATATTGTAAACTATTTTTCATGTTTGATCATATGCAATTGTCTTTATATCTTCAATTCAGTCTTATTTGATTCAGTGAAGTAAATTTTTATTCATTTTAACGTTTTGAAGGAGGGGGGAAGGTTTAGTGGAAGAGTGAGAGATCACTTTTCACAACTAAAAGACTGAAATTTGGTTGTTGAAATCGAACATGTCCTTTTTTAAGAGTGTGCAGGACAAAGCAATTATAGACACTGCAAAACTGTCTGTGCACTGAATCGAAAATTCTGCCTTTAGTCAAATCGATGTGACGAGCATATCACCTATAGTCCAGCAAAGTGAGGGGAAAAAACTGCCTTACCCCAACGTTAAAACAATAAAGATGAATCTTGTAAGAAATTGTTTATTACTTTCACCATAATAACTGGTAAAAAATCCTAAAGGTTTTGATGGAGGGAGGCGGAGAAGGACAGAAAACTGATATTTTTTTTAGTTTTTTTGAGAATATCTAAAAAACTACGAACTTTTTCGTAAAGATTGTTTTGTACAGCATTAATAATAATAATAAGGCTTAGCGAACCCGAAGGTTCGATGCCGACACCACCAATCGTTTGTTACACACCTCCCTCCACCGTTCGCCGTCCAAACCCAGTCCCTTCAGATCGGCTTTAATGCAATCTTCCCACCTTCGCTTCGGTCTACCCGATCAATTATATTACCCGGATACATCTCACGCAATTCGGCGTTGTGTAACCGTCTGAACTCTCCGGTTAACTCATCCTTCTTCGGTCCGAATATTCTACGCAATACTTTATTTTCAAAAACCTTAAGACGCTGCTCATCCCTTAATGTAAGCGGCCAAGTTTCGCATCCATAAAGAACTGTAGGCAAGATAATTGTTTTATAGATTCTAATTTTTAAGTTCCGGGACAAGAGGCGCGAACTAAGTAGTTTTGTCACAGAAAAATAACAAGCATTTCCCGCCTTCAGTCCAACCTTAATCTCTTCTTCAATTTCGTTTTTTCTAGTTATCGTTGAATCTAGATACCTAAATTTATCTACCTGTTCAAACATATTACCATCTATATCGATGTCACCAGTAGTATCGCCATTTTTGCAGCTAACCATATATTTTGTTTTATCCACGTTTATTTCGAGTCCTATTTCTTTCCCGGCTTTCATTAACGTTGTCGTATTTAGTTTTATAGTTTCAACGTCTTCGCTTAACAGTACCAGATCATCAGCATAGCCCAGCACAGATGTTGTCCCGCCCAGATCCAACCCTTTCTCGGTTCGCATTACCTCCCTAATGGCATGTTCTAAAGAGAATCGCCCAGTTTTAAGCCCGAACGAACCTCAAATTTTTCGGACAAATTATTACCTATTCTAACTTTATTGAGTGTCTCCATCAAGCACATCCTGACTAGATTTACTAGTTTTTTTTGGAATCCCCTGCTCAATTAGAATATTATACAGTTTCTGGCGGTCAATAGAATCGTAATCCTTTTTAAAATCTATATACAGCTGGTGAACAATACCGTTATACTCCAATTTTTTCTCTAATATTTGCCGTAAAGAAAATATTTGATCAATAGTCGAACGATTCCGTCTAAATCCGCATTGATAGTCTCGATGATAGTCTCCGATAATTTCCTCGGCGTATTCCGTGATTCGACTGGTTAAGATTGAAGTGAATATTTGATAACATACCGGAAGGAGTGAAATTCCTCGATAGTTATTACAATCCGTCCTCGGACCCTTTTTGTGAATCGGAATAAGAATAGATTCTTTCCATTCTTTAGGTAATTTCTCGTTCACCCAGATCTTTTTAACCAACCGATGTATTTTAGAAACTCCAGCTTCCCCGCATGCCTTAATTAGTTCAGTAGGAATATTATCGATTCCCGCTGCTTTATATGATTTTAATTTTCCGATAGCTACTTCAACTTCCTCTTTACTTGGTCCTTCTATTAACGGTTCAGCACTCTGGTACTCAGAAGGAGGACACAGATCATAATTTCCCGTATTTAAAATATAGTCAAAGTGGTCCTTAAACTTATTCAATATGTCAACCGGATCGGTCAGAATATTGTTATTATCAT